GAAAGGGGCAGTGGAGCTGGAACCAACCCCATCGCTGACTGGGGCGCTCTAAACAGGCCCCTCTCTCCCCGGCCTCAGTGTCCCCATCTAGCAAAGGGGAGGAAACACAAGTGTTCGCCCGCCCCAAGCTGTGTCCACAGCTTTGATGTAATTAACTTATTTAAGTATAAAATTAAGCTGGGCCTCTTACCCCTGCTTGGCCCAGGGAGGGAGGGGCCGGGACATCTGGAAAGTTCGTTTGTTTGTTCACTTGTCCAATCTGTATTTATTGAGTAACTACTGTGTGCCCGGCCCTTTGCTAGCTCTGGGGTGCAGCACCTCCCTCAGGGGTGCAGGTCTCCCTGCTTCAGAGTCAAAGTGCCCTGCACCCACCAGTGGACGCAGTCTCTGTCCTGGCCTCCTCCTTGCCAGACCTTGGGGTCCCCGAGACCGGAGGTTGCAGCCCCTGCCTTCCCTGTAACACCAGCTTGACTCAAAAGGTGGAGGATTGTGGCCAACTGGGGGGCTGCCTGAGGCTCAGGTGTGGGGGGAGCTGCAAGGGGCAGAGAGGGAGAAGGCACCCTTTGTGAGGGCACAGAGGTGGCCAGCTGCTGGTACCCCGCCTCATGCCCAGAAAGCCTGTCTCGGTGGCTCTGGCCAGCCCTGGCGGGGGCAATGCAAACACAGTGAGGTGATGGGCATGTGGGGAGGGGACAGGTCTGGGGGATATTGAGGGGCCCCGGATCCCACGTCAGAACCAGAAGGGAAGAGGAGATGGAGCACCACTAAGAGCCTCTTGGGGGTGCTCTGCCTCCATCTTCATTACCCCTGTTCTGCAGCTGAGGCAACTGAGGCTCAGGAAGTGTTGGAAGCACATCTGGTGTCACCAGGAGAAGAGGGGGTCAGGACCTCACCTCAGGGCCCCGCCGTCCCGGCGGCCAGAACAGAGCCCCCACACCGGGCAGACACAGACACGGTCACAGGGCACAGAGGAGACAGTCCCGGGAAGGGGGAGAATGGGAGATGCCGAGCAGAGGAAGAAATGGGGGCCTGGGGGAGAAAGTGGGGGGACAGGAGGAAGGAGCTGGGTCTTTGAAATGTGATTCTTCTTGTAGCTCCTGTGAGGTGACCCCAGGCTGGTGGGGGGAGCTCGTCTCCCCCTTACCTCCTCAGAGATTGCTGGGAAACAGGACAGGTCTTGGGCGACCCCAGGGCCATGGCTTGGATTTTGCCTTTTCCTCTGAGTTGCCAATGCGCCATCATTTTCTGGCAGAGAAACCGCTGGGGGCGCTGAGAGGGACACACTCCCCGGGTAGTTCCGGGGGTAACTCCGGGCAGCCCTGGGGGTGGAGCGCGGGGCTGCTGCTTATCATTCCTGCCCACTGTCCAGGTGGGCAAGCTGAGGAGGGGTTCGAGTGCCCTTGTGAGAGCCACGGCCGGCAGGGGGGGGACTCTGGTTCACCCCACCCGGGATGCAGTGCTAAGGGGGAGCAAGAATGGGCCCCCGAGGGCAGCCCTAGTGAGGGCCCATCCTGGTGAGGGGGAGGGTTGGGGGTTCACACGCCACCAGGGACAGGGCTGCGTGCACGCGCCTCTTTGCAGGGAGGCAGAGCAGAGAGAAGGAGAGAGAAGGTCAAGGGTCCAGGCTGGACAGCGGGGATGAGCTGCTCCCATTAGGCCCTGGGCATCACTGGGTCCCCATGATGTGTGGTGAAGGGGTGTCTGAAAGCCAGAGGACCCTCTGAGGTCATGGGAGGGCAGCCAGGCCCTCCACGGAGCTCCTGGGCACCCCCATGCGCCACAGGAGACCCGCCCCGCTGAGGCGGGCAGGCACAGCTGTAGGGACCAGACACATCTGGGATGCCTGAGGCAGCAAAGCAGCAGGGCCGTGCCCCCAGAGGAGCAGCAAATCCCCGAGAAGGGAAAATGGGGTGAGGCCTGTGCCAAAAGCTGAATATACACTGGCTCACTGGGTCCTCACAATGCGGACAGATACAGTCTCCCAGTTTCCAGAGCAGATAGTGGAGGTTCAGGGGCCTGAACTGACTGGTCTGAGGTTGCCCAGTCACAGGGGACTTGCCGCAGCTCTGTCCAGTCAAAGCCTGGGGCCTGCTCTCCCCCCAGAACTTTGCCGGAAGGCTCCAGAGCGGCTGCTGGAATCCGCTGCCTGAGGGCGGGACTCAAGGGTCTGGGCTGGGTCTTGGTCTCTGCACTTGACTCTGCTCCCGGGAGCTGCTAGTGCATGCAGCTCCCCCCGAGAGCCCTGGACTCAAGCGGGGCCCTCTGCCCCCAAGTGCTGGTGCCGCAAGGGCAGCTGAGACCAGAGCCGACAGCCGGCTCCATCTCAGGCGAAGGGATTTTGCCTTCACTGGTGTGGCCTTGGCGTCCCCATCCCTGTCCCGAGCTGCTGCGGAACAAGGAGGCAGAGGACCCCTGACTCTGACGAGACAGGCTTTGTCAGTCCTTTCTTGTGCTGCTGGCCCGGCGGGTGTTGGAGGGACACGTCTGTGCACGAGACAGGTGTGTGGTGGGGCTCGGAGCCAGCCCTGCGGAGCCCAGGCAGGGCGAGGGCGGAGAGGTGACGTGAGGACTCACTGCCCTGGTGACAAGCCCGGCCCAGGCAGAGGCGGCCCTGAGTTTGGGGCATGGGTGGCAGAGTCCTCCCAGCAGGGGGAGCCCACCCCAGAGCCAGCAGCCCCAGCCCTGGTCCTTTCCTGGACTATGAAATGGGGACCCAACTGCTTCCCTTCTTGCAGCCACAGTTTCCCCCCTGGGTAAAATGGGGGGTGCTGTCTGAGGGGACTTTGGTGTTAAGAGGCCAGAAGTCAGAGGAGAAAAAAATCATGAAGACACACCCTGTCCTCAGCCCCCGCGACCTCCTGCGCACTTTCTCGCTCTGCCGGGAAGTGACTCCAGGCCGGATCCTCCACCCGCACGGCGGAGCTAGCGTGTTGCCCCGGCCTGCGTATAAGCAGCTCTCAGTGCTCGGAAGCTGCTCGTGGTTGCAGCTGCAGGGGCTGTGTGGCCCCAGAGTCCAAAGAGTCCAGGCGCTTCCCCTGGGGTGTGGCTGAGATCATCGTGCAGATTAACATTGTCGGCTCAGACACTGTTCCAAAGGCCTTGTGTGCGAGAACATTTATTCCCTTGCCACATGCTTGGAGGTAGGAACTTTATTATTCCCATTTTACAGAGGAAGAGCTGAGGTTCAGAGAGGTTTAGTGGCCCAAGGGCACACGGGTGAGTGCAGATTAGGATGAGAACCCAGAGCCCAAGTTATAACCAACTGTACCGCCCTACCAGGCTCGCCCACGCCAGAGGTGCTGTGCACTGTGGAGGCCAGGAACCTGGCTGGTTTTCAAGCCCCCTCACCACCCCCACTGAGGAGCTCTGCTGGGGTCCTCTGCCTGGGAAACATTCCCCCAGAGGCTGCCTCTCTCCTCCAGCGGCCCTAGGACAGGCAGAGGCGGGGCAGTGGGGAGCTACAGCAGGCTGCTGAGCAGGAGTGGAGCTGGCACCGCCAGATGTGGGGAGCTGGGTCAGTCATGGATGGGGTGAGGAAGCAGGTACCCCCGACAGGGGGCAGCACACCCGGCCCTGCCCTAGGCCTCACCCCATGGTCTCCAAGGGCCGAGAAGACAGATGGGGGGGGGGGGCAGGGCGGGCATGGCTCTCACTCAGGCAGATGAGTCATGAGCGGCCCGGGCGGCCTGGGGAGGCGGGGCTGCAGAAACAATTGAGTGGAGACCCCGGGACAAAGGGGGCCACGTGCCACGGGGGCAACAGTCGGTTATCACACAAAGGGCCACAGAGGGACAGCAGCCGGGCCAACCGCTGCCTCTGATGAGGCCGAGTTTTCAAATCGGTTCCAGGCTGTTTTCCTACAAGGCAGCCAATCGCGGGGCGGTCGGGTGTCACCTGATGCCAGCTTGGTGGGCCCAGGCCGGGCCCTGCTACAAGGAGCCGTGGCCATGGCAACGCTAATTGTGGCCCTAAAACACAAGGAAAGAGAGGGCAGCAGAGAGGGGAGGGCGGGCGGGAGAAAGATGCCTGGCTTGAGGTGGCCACACCATGGCCAAGTGTGGAGGCCAGTGTCCCACCTGGATCCCCTGTCAGCTGCGAGGGAAAACCACGTCCCCCTGCCCGCCTCCCCCTCCCATGAGGCCCGAGACACCTGATTGTGAACTTGGAGTTTGGGGTCTGGATGGGTGACCCCTGGGCGGCAAAGCAGAAAGGCCCGCGGGGTGGGGGCGCTGCAGGTGCAGCATGGCCCTTACAGCGGGGAGGAGCCTCTGCGGTAGGGTCCCGTGCCCTTGGAGCCACACATAGAGAGCAAGACTTTGGGGGTGCCTGGGAACCATGGTGACCCCCTCATTGGGGCACTGCCTGCTCTAGTGATGGTGACCTTTCTCCTTCCACATGTAGGGGCACGGCACCCGTGCCTTCCGTGGTAAGGGGCTCCAGCTTCAGGCCACAGACCGGGGTTCCAGCCCTGTGCCTTCTGTTCCTTGGAGCCTTGGGCAAGTGACTTAGTGCTCAGAGCTTCAGTTTCCCCTTCTGTAAAAGGGGGAGGGGGCATATCCACTTCAGGGCTGCTGTGGGGATTAAATGGAACTGTGCCTATTGAGCACTGAGCCTAGTGCCTCAGTTACCCCATCTGCAAATTGGGAATAGTAACGATTATGATAATAAATAACAGGGGTGATGTGGGAGTGTTAAATGGGTTTTTAAAAACCTGTGAAGGATGTGGTATGGTGCCCAACACATAGTAAGTGCTCAGCAAACATCAGCGTTCATTGCCCTGGTCAGGGCTACGTAAGATATGCTAAATGTCAGGGAAGGAATAATTTGAGGGTGGATGACCTGGGACCTGGTTGCCATGCCTAGGCCTGTGGATGGACAGATTGCAGGGTTGGGTAGCTTGTACAGGTGAGGGCATCAGGGAGTGATTCTGGACATAGGGGAACTCCCCAGGAAAGGGCCTGAGCTCCCCACCCTGCCTGAGCCCCCACCCCTCCCTGCAGGCTCTTAAGCTCCTCCAGCGATGCGGACATCCTCGGGGACCTGCAGTCTCTGTCCTGGCTCACGGCCGTGGATGTGCCACGGCTGCAGCAGATGGCGAGTGGCCGTCTGGACCTGGGTGGCCCCAGCGCACCACCCCCACACCCAGGTAGCGTCAGAGGCAAAGTGGGGGGCATGTGGGATGGGAGGCAGGGCTTGCCACCCAGCTCCTGACTGTTGTGGCTAGGTCACTCTCTCTGGATCTTTGATTTTGCCATTACACGTCTGTAAAATGTGACTGATCCTACTTTCCTTGGAGGGACTGGTTCGTTCTCTGGTCCTCCACGGCACCAGGCCGGGTGTGACCAAGGTTTCAGCAAAGAGTCAACAGTCGGGCACATCCTGAACATTTTGGGCAGTCTGTGGGCACAGTGCAGCCTTGGCTTGTCTTGCTGCATTCTTCATGTTAAGAATAATTTTTATCTTTTTCAAGGGTTATAAAAACACAGAGACTTTGCAGCTAGTGTAACCTAAAATATTTGCAACCTCGCCCTTTGCAGAAAGTTTGCTGACCCTAATCTTCAAGAGATAATAATACATGGGAAGTGCTGGCACATAGTAAATGCCCAATAAAAAGCAGCTAGTTGTAGTCATGGCAGTGGATTCAGAGCTAGGGATGCGGAAAGCACTGAAGAAAAACAGTCAACAAAAACCACTACTGTGCACTGCAGTAGATTAAAAGCACCAGTAGTTGAAACTTAGTATTTAGGAGTATTTCTTTCATTGGACAAATTGCTCTTGGCAGATACAGCTATTGCAGGAATCAGCAAACTCTGTAAAATGGTAGGTAGTAAATATGTCAGAAACTGTTGAACTATTCATCTAAAGTTAAAGCAGCCTTAAATATATAAACAATGGGTGTGGTTTTGTGCCAATAAAACTTTATTTACAAAAAAAGCCGTCTGTGGGCCAGATTTGGCCTGCTGACCGGAATTTGCCAGGCCCTGATCTAGAACTGCCCAGGGGACAACTGTGTGACCTTGCAGAAGAACATTCCCTCTGAGCTATTTCACCTGCAATGAAAGATAATAGAACTATCCTCATGGGATATTACGAGGCTTTGATGCAGAAAGTACATTGCACGTAGTATGTGTTCAATAAATGGTTCCTATGCAATAAGGTGGCCCCTTTTTTCTCCACTGTCATCACACACGTCCTATGTGCCTGTCACTATGCCAGGTACTTGAAGCCCTAAGCCATTTGTGGTTGTAGCTCTCAGGGAGTTGAGGATCTGATCAGAGAGAGAAGGACAAGACAGACCAAGACACAAAGGCTGAGCCCACGTGGGAGCCAGAAGGCTTTCTGGAAAACATGAGTTTAGGGCAGGCTCATCTTGCAGGTCACCTAGGCTAGATTAGAGGTGGCTGCCTGCAATCAGGTGGTGCAGATTCTATGATAGATTAGTAATGTCTGTTACAGGCCCAGTGTAGGGTAAGGTGGACATGTGTGCACCTGCTATTCCCAAGATAATTCTTGGCAGAGGGGCAGGACTTGGCAAAGGGGAGAGGAGGCACGAAGGCAATTAGACCTAAACTCAAAGCAGAGGGGAATTAGGGCCTATTTTCAAGGAGGAGAGATGGACAATGAATTTTAGTTTCATGAAGGATAGGAACCAAGGCATTAATGTCATCATCATTACTTATTATTGACTCCTATTTATCAGGATAACATCATGTGCCCAGCTATGTGCTAAGTCCTTGATACACATGATTTCATTTAACTCTCACAACAAATTTATAGGCAGGTAATATCAGTAACTTCATTGTACCGGTGGGAAAACTGAGGCCAATGGGAGCCCACACTTTAAGGGGCCTCACATGTGGGGGGGGGGGCCCTCTCTATACCCCAGGGAGGTGACTTGCCCCCAACAGCAGTAGGTGACTCCATCCTCTGGACAGGCCCACCGTCACCCTGTGCTTCCTCCTGCAGGTGCTGTGGCTGGCGCTGCTGACCTGCATGTGGGAGCCACTCCAGGCCCCGTGCTCCACAGCCCAGCTGGCCTGGCCCCCCCAGGAGTGCTGGGCCTGGGCCGCATGGCCACCCACGGAACCAGTGTAAGTGCCCCGCTTGGGTCAGGGCATAGGAGGTGTATCCCCCAGCCTGGGGTGCCCTGTCCTCACCCTGACCTGTGTCTCCTCCTCTCCTGCCGTCAGCAGATGAACCAGTTCCCTGTAGGGGGGAAGCCCACGTCTGGCCTGCAGGATCCGCCACAGCTGTATTCTCCCACCTCTCAAACCCAGTTCCCGCTGCCCCCAGGGGTCCAGCAGGTACTGGGGGCGAAGCAACCCTGCACTCAGAGGCAGACACCCCTGGCTTGGGCTGGCCAGGGGGCTCTCTGAGCCTCAGTTTATTTACCCAGAGCATGGGGATAACATTCCACACCATGCGCCCGTCACGGTCATTCAGTTCCCCCCAAATCCATGGAGTAGAGACAAGATTGTCTCCTGGAGTTACAAACCCCCATCTTGCTTTCCAGACTGGGGTGGGAATGGAGTTTTTGTGAGTCACTTATGCTCTCTCTCTCTCTCTCTCTCTCTCTGTGCCCCTGCCTGTGGGTAGTGCCCTCCTGTGGGCCTATATGGCTCCCCATTTGGGGCACGGCCTCCCTATCCCCAGCCCCACATGGCTGCACATTCATCTCAGGAACTGCACCCCAAACACTACCCCAAGCCCATCTACTCATACAGGTGAGGACTGGGCTGGGGCTGGCAGGCCTGAGGGGGGAGGAGGTTAAAGGCTCCCGGATGTCATCTTGGACAATTGAGTGGGGTGGGCCAGACATTTAATGCCGAAGTTTTGGGGCTTGGAGAGATCCCAGGTATATCCCACTCTCAGGAAATACCAACATGCAGTCAGCAAGCACCAAGGTTGAGGACCCACTTCTACTCTGAGCCTAGCACCCCTCCATGCACCAGCTGTGTGGCCTTCAGTAGTGGCTTGAACTCTCTGAGCCTCAGTTCCCTCTAATGTAGAAAGTCATCGAAAAACTCGCAGGAGGCTGGGGAGGGAGGAAACAGCCTAAAGTCTCAAGCCCATAGACATTAATCATGGGGAGGTGATGAAGAGAAAAGGGGACAAGATTTCTCAGGTCAGTACCCATGGATGAGTTCAGGGTCAAGAGCAAGGGCAGGGCGTGGGAAAGATGGAGGACTACATTAAGGAGTGGAGCTAACACCTGAGTCTGGCGGGCTGCTACTGGTGGGGTCAAGCAGGGCAGGCTTCCAGGTAGAGGGGACCTTGGGCGGAGACCCTCGCATGCCTGGCCTGCCCCCCTTCTTGCTGCAGCTGTCTGATCGCCATGGCCCTGAAGAACAGCAAGACAGGCAGCCTGCCTGTGAGTGAGATCTACAGCTTCATGAAGGAGCACTTCCCCTACTTCAAGGTGAGGAGTCCCGCCCACAGCAGAGAAACTCAGTTCCTGGGCCCCTTCCTGCACTGCCCCAAGCCAGACTGGACCGCCAGTGTAGGTGGGCTGTAGACCTGGTAGTAAGGATACCACCCGTGTGCCTTTACTTAGACAGGGGCAAAAAAATAAACCCAGAAAGAGAAGGGGGCATTTGAGCTGGGCTCTGGCAGATGAAGAGAAGTTCATCAAGCATCCCAGGGAACAAAGGGGAAAAGAACCAACATCGCTGTTCAGGACAAGCTCAGTAAAACAGGATACAACACAGCTGATGAGAACCTTCACCTCAGTTTCCACCTCTGTATGATGGGGAGAATAAAACCCAGCTGGCGAGCTTCGTAAGGACCCCATATGGAAAGGGCCTACCAGTTTCTGGCACATGGTTGTCCATTAGTAATGCTATCCTTATTGACTTCGTAGCCAAAAAAAAACAATAGGAGGTCAGAGGGTACTGAGCTGTGGGATCCCTGGCCTGGACAGTATCCTTGGCACGTATTTAAAAATGTTCAGCATTTAGCACACTTGGCCAGTTACATATGTGTCAACATCATCTCAATTGCCTGCTTCCTCAGTGGGAGAGAAAGATGGACAGTCAGGCAGCCCTGGGCCTTATTTTCATATCTAATAGTTGGCAGCACCTGAAGTGCAGCTGCCCCTTTTAATCAGAGCACAGCCCCCAAGTTTGCCACAGTCCCCACCCCGCCCTTTTGTCCTCCAGGTTGAGGGCTGCATGCTGTCGTTTTATCCCACCACTGGTGGGCAGTGAGTTTGAGATGCCCCTGAAGAGGGAGGTCTCGGGAAGTCTCTAAAGGGGTCTCCTGCCTGCCCATTTCTCCCCACAGACAGCTCCCGATGGCTGGAAGAACTCGGTGAGGCACAACCTGTCCTTGAACAAGTGCTTTGAAAAAGTGGAAAACAAGATGAGCGGCTCCTCGCGCAAGGGCTGCCTTTGGGCCCTGAACCTCGCCCGCATCGACAAGATGGAGGAGGAGATGCACAAGTGGAAGAGGAAGGACCTGGCCGCCATCCACCGGAGCATGGCCAACCCCGGTGAGGCCCGGACCTGCACCCACACACACCTGGGCCAGCCCACCAGCAATGCACCCGAGCCCTGTGGGGGGCCTGTGAACTTTCCTCCTTCCTTCCTGTAAAATCCACCTTGCCTCCTCCCCCTGGCAAATTGAGGGGCCTGGTCAGAAACATGACAAGCTGCTGAAGCCTATGAGTGATCCCTGATTTCTTACACAGACGAGCCAAACCAAACCACCGTAGGATAACACTGCTTTCCTACTTGCTCTGCCACTCTGGTGCAGATTGTTAAAAAAAAAATCACAAAACAATAACACCAGGTGTGGGCGAGGATGTAGAGAAATAGGCCCCTTCACATACAATTGATGGGAGATGGAAGAGGTTAAACTTTTCTGGGGCAAAGTAATAAACCCAAGCCCTGTGAACTCTACCCATTTGGACCAGTTTGACCCAAGTAGTCTACTTCTGGAATTTATGCTGAGGAAATCAAAGCTTTGATCAAACATTTAATGAACAAAGTTACCCATCACAACATTTCTTTTTTTAAGGGTTAAACATCCCACAAGAGTAGATTAAATAAATATAATAATACCATACTGTACAACTATTAGAGATAAAAGTATTTTTGAAATAAAAAGAAATGCTACCAATATAACAAGTGAAGAGACAGGTTATGACTCAATATACACAAAATGATCAGATTTAAAAATGCATATATATTCATCCCCATTCTTATATTTGTATACATATGTATATTAGTAGAGTGGGAGAGTTAAAGGGGGAGAGAGAAATATAACAAACTCCTTACTGTGAATGGAGAGAACACATAATTGTGATATGCTCAAGCTTCATGTTTCTGTATTTTCCAAATCTAAGCTCTTTGTGAAAAAAAAAAAATTGCATCTGCCCCCTCCCCCCATTTTTTAATTAAGCGATGTGGAAGGGAGGGGCATATGAGAGGGGTAAACACGAAGTGGAGGTTAATCCCACCCAGCCTTAGGAATATTCTGCCTGGCCCTGTGGATATCATATGCTCCAGGTCTGATCTGGAAGGGACAGGGAGAGAGGAACGATTCAATAAAGGGCCATAGCAAGATTCAGCAGGCCCTCGGCTGAGAGCCGTCACATGATAAGAGGTAGCTGTGCCCGCCCCGCACAGAGCTCTGGGGTTTGCCTGGAAACCCAGGGCCAGGCCTCACACATACGTAGTGTGAGATCTTGGGCAGGTGATTTCACCTTCTAGATTCCAAATGTTCTCGTTTCTAAAATGGGTGCAACCCGGATAGAGATCAGGATCCTAGTGGTCCAGTCTTGAAATTGTCTTCCAGTCAATGAAACATTACTCAACAACCAAAAGTTACTTGAGTCATTTCAGTTTTGTGTCTATTTGAGCTTGTTAAGGAGGATCCAATTTTTAACCCATCGCTACACTTAATGTCACTTTAGTAGCAGGAACTGGTTAGGACCCTTGCATGTTAATTTTGTCCCAATTGATGGGATTTGTAACCTCTGCCTTCCATGCCTCTTTCAGGGCTGTTAGGAAATTCAAGAGAGGTTCCAGAGTTACAGGACTGCCCTATAAGCCTCTGTCCCAATGAGAGGATCTCAAGTTAGGGCCTCTCACCCCTCAGAGCCCCTACACAGTTCGTGATTCCATTGTTTCCACCACCCTGTGTGATGTGCGTGATGCTACCTTAAAAGCCATCTCTAAGAGACTTGCTAAAAAAGGTCACATGGGTAATGCTGGGATTTGAACCCAAGCCTGGGCTGGGTCCCCTGGAGCTGCAGGATGGCTTCTGAGTGACTTCTCCACTTGCCTACAGAAGAGCTGGACAAGCTGATCTCAGACCGACCGGAAAGCTGCCGGCGCCCTGGCAAAGTGCGGGAGTCTGAGGCCCCCGTGCTGACCACAGTGGCCATGGCCCACAGCTGCCTGGCTGTCTCTCAGCTCCCGCCCCAGCCACTGATGACCCTGTCCCTGCAGTCAGTGCCCCTGCACCACCAGGTCCAGCCCCAGGCACATCTCTCCCCAGACTCTCCTGCCCCAGCCCAGACCCCACCCCTGCATGCCCTCCCAGACCTGAGCCCCAGCCCCCTGCCCCACCCCGGCTTGGGAAGGGGTCCTGGGGACTTCATCAACATCAGCACTGACATGAACACCGAGGTGGATGCCCTGGACCCCAGCATCATGGATTTCGCTCTGCAGGGTGAGCCTGGAGGAATGGGGGAGGGGAGCAAGGGAAGGGGTGAGGCTGGGGGAGCAGAAAGACAGGGGAGGGCGAAGGAGAGGAGGGCTGCCTGCGCGTTCCCCGCAGCTCCTTCCTTCGGCCAACACTTCCCTGCCACCTAGTAACAGTGAGTCGCAGTAAGCCACACATGTCCCTCGATGCCGGGCTCCATGCCAAGTGCTTCCTGCCACCCCGCACGGCCCAGGAGGCCACTGCCCTTGCACACGCCCCGTCTGCCCTTGAGGAAGCAGCAAAGAGAAGTGCAGTCACTGGCAGAGGCCACCTGCCAGGAAGTGGTGGAGCCGAGATCTCAACCCAGTTGGTCTGACCCCAGGCTTTTTGTGGATCATCACTGATACAACCGGCAGGTGCCAAACGCACGCCAGGTCACTCCCTGACCCAGGCCTGCCGCGCGGGCACCCTGATGAGGGGTGGATCTATGCATCAAAGAAGGTACCAACTAGCCCATGAAGTTCAGGCTTCAGGGGGAGCCCCTTCTTTGCCCGCTCGCCGCCGCAGGTGCTGCTGCCAGTCAGTGTCGCAGGCACGTGTGCCCTGAAGGGCCCCCATCTGGCGAAGCAAATGGGCAGGCTAGTGGGCTCGTTAGGGAGTTAGTTATAGCTGCGAACAGGGTCTATCTGAACCCCTGGCCTTTCCCCCGATGGCTGTGCAAGAAAAGTGTGAAGCAAAGAAACCACCACCCGTCCTGTCTTTGGCCACGATGGTTCCTCCTCGCAAGGGCTTCCATACTCCCCCTCAGATGTGGGTCCTCTGAGCTCCCCGCAGGACCTGGGGCTCCAGTGGGAGCGACATTCCCAAGCAGGTGCTGTGGGCCGTGAAGGCCGGGCCAGAGCACTGGCTCCTTCGTCCGCCTTTCCATAACGTAACACAGGGTCTTACGAGCCCCCCCAACCCCCAGCCACGTGTCCTGTCTCCTCCCTGAGGCGGGGCTGGAACTCGGGTCTGACAGGAAGCCGGCCCACGACTCACGCAGACGTTCTTATCTTTGCAAGGAAACCTCTGGGAGGAAATGAAGGAGGAGGGCTTCAGCCTGGACACGCTGGGGGCCTTCGCAGACCCCCCGCTCCCGCTTGGCTGTGAGCTGGGCGCCTCCGGCCTCACCCCCATCTCCGGCGGCAGCGACCAGTCCTTCCCAGACTTGCAAGTGACGGGTCTCTACGCTGCCTACTCGACCCCGGACAGTGCGGCCTCATCGACCCCCAGCTCCTCTGCACAGTACCTGGGTGCCCCGGGGAACAAGCCCATAGCCCTGCTTTGAGCTGAGCTGAGCTGACGCCTCGCCGGCCCCAGACCCCGGCCAGGGCAGAGAGGGGGCTCTTAAGCCTTTGGAGGGGCGCTGGCTGACAGAGAAGCAAGTTCCTCTCCACACCCCCTGGCCCTTTCACATCCACAGGAAGCCCTGGGCCTCCCCAAGTCCAAAGGACAGAGGAAAATGGACAAGCGTCCCGGCCTCCGCCACTCCCTGACGTTCCTTCAAGACCGGCGATGGGCGAGCTGATGGTGGCAAGAGCGAGCTTCTCCAGCCCGGACCCTCCTCGGGACTCACTCCAGCCCGCCTGGGGACGCACCGGTGCGCCGTGGAAACACAGTGGCGGCCGGGCCTTTTAATTTATTCTTCTGGGATGAGACGTCTGGGTCAGCCTCCAGCAGACAGGCCCTGAGGCCTGCGTGGAGCCGGCCGCTGTCCCCCTGTTCCAGGACAGAACTCTGAAACGAGCGCCCGCCCTGGCGGCCTCAGGCCCCTTTCTCCTATCGTGTGTAGGAGTCATGGAGCTGGTCCCTGGCCGCGCCAGGCACTCTCACTGTGTGTACATTTATTTATTTTTATTGGGGCGCACCTGCACCAACTCTTCCCATCCAGCCGAGACCCCTGTGATGAGACTCCCTGGATCCTCCCGCCATGGTCTCTCCCCGCGTCCTGGCCACACCGATGCCCAAATCATGCAAGAATCACCCCACCAACTGGCTTTTAGTCCCTCTGCAGCCTTGAGCAGTTTTTTTTAGAACAAACAAGCACTTTTGAGACTGTGAAGCATCCCATTTTTTTAAAGTAGAGACCAGCTATTTTTCTGTTGGGTCATGATTCAAAATTTCATGTGTCTCCAAGAGAGGAGGTGCCATAGTTTTGGGGGGCTTTCTAAAGGCACATCAGGATGGAGTTGGGGGGTTTGTACTGGAATTTAGCCATCCCTGATGGAGAGAAGCAAACGAGCCCGCATAGCGAGTGGGCTGAGATGCTGCAAATGCGCAATGTCTGAGGGCCCGTTTGCCTGCTTCATGGCCTAGAACAACTTGTTTCTATTTTTCCTCTTGTTGCTCTTGCTGACTTTCCAAGTACCGGGTTCTATAGACACTGGGCTAGAGGGGAGCCAGGGGAGGGGCCTGGGAGAAGAGAAGGTACCTAGGGGTCCCGGGTATGAGGCAGTGCAGCCACTGTCCCAACCGTCCCCTCTTGACCAACTGGAGGTTTGGCTCCTGTGTCTGGGAGCTCCTCAACTCCAGAGCCAGAATTTTCCAATTAATCAACAGGTCAGCCAGGCACCTGAGAGGTCAAGTGTTCAGTCCTGTCCTGAAGGACCTTCTCTAAGTCGTTCCCAGTTCTGGAACTTTCCGCCAAGCCTCCACCGTCTTTAGAGAGAGCGGCGCTGCCATCTGACCAGCACTGCTCCACTGCTTTGTGTGACATGAACCCTGATGAGTGGTGGTTAACAAGGACCCCGTGTTTAGATGACCCCAAGACCATGTTAGCCCCATGTTGAGTGACTCTTCTGTCAATAAAGGTGGAATGGCAGCCCTGAGGCCCGGGGAGGCGTGAACTGACAGTCGTTATTACAGGCAGGGATGTGAACCCTGTTTGCTGCTCAGAAAGCAGAGGCTCAGAGAAGTTGGGTGGGATCCTGGTCAACAGAGGAGGCAGGACTGGGTCTGTGTGTGCCAGAGCCTGGGGCTGGAGCTCAGCAGCGCTGCCCCCTGGTGCCTCCCTGGGGCTCAGGGGAGGTGGCGACGCAGAAGGCGGAGACCACCCTCTGCAGCAGGCTCTGTGCTCATCGCTCCCATAGATTAGCTCCTTCACGCTTTATAGCCCCAGCAGGCAGGCAGATTCCTTATTACACCCATTGTGCAAAGGAAGAAACGGAGGCTCGGAGGGCTAGATAGCCCTCCAGCCAAGATAGCCACAACAGAGTACATTAACTAGGAGACTGACTCTTAAACCACCCAGAAGTGGCCTGCAGCCTCACTCAGGAGACAGCATTTGGGGGTGTGTGATGATTAGTAAGGAGGGGCAGGGTCGCAGGGCAGTGGCTGGGGCTGGACTGCCCCACTCAGTGAGAGCAGTAGGCGGGCAGCAGAGGCTGCGCAGCCCTCAGCAGTCCTGTCTCCATCACCCTCCTTCTGGACTTGGCTCCAGGGTGGCCTGGTGACCCAGGCCTGGCCAACTAGGGCATCCCAGCCCCCACTGATTGGTTAGTGTTGGGGGACCAGTGACGCAGTCATGTTGGTCACAGTCAATGTGCATCACCCGAGGGTGCCCCCTCCTGGGTGAGCATGTGGAGGGGCTGGGGAGGCCCTGCTTGAGGCTGATGCCATTCCTTGCACAGTCAGGGCAAAGACACCGGGGTCACACACTTGGGGTATGACCCTACCAGAGACTCCCCGCGTGGCCCATGTGTCGCCAGAGGGAGAGCAGAGGACTGGGGTCTTTGCTGAGGCTCTCTCTGGAGCTGGGCAGCTGAGGCACAGAAAGGCTGGCCACCACCATTTCAGCACCTGCCGGGAGCGGCCTCGAGTGCCACACTTGGGAGGCGGTATCAGCACAACATCCCGAAACAGCACAACATCCCACACAGTGTGAGGGTCCCAATACCCAGATGAGAAACTGAGGCTCAGAGCTCACGGGGGTGGGGGCAGCTTTTCTTCCCTCCCCACAAGAAGTCAGCCACGTTCTAACAGCAAAAACACTGACCACACTGGCCAGCGGGCATAGGGGCGTCCTCCACTGCACCCACCCGGCCTGGACTCACTCACCATCCCCCTGCCCCCCAGGGGAGAGCTGTTACCTCCTGACTGCAGGCAAAGCGCAGCCACCACTGCAGACCATGCGCAACCGCGGCACCTGGGACCACGTTAGATTCCTGGCAAGGGGTGAGAAGTCTACGGGTGGAACGAAGTTTGCTAATCAGCTGCCCTTGGAGAGCGAGAGTCGCCTGGGTGAGCCAGGTGGGCCCAATGTAATCACAGGAAGAGGGGGGCAGGGAGGTTAGTGTCGATGGAATGGGGCTCCCCCAAGGGCCACAGCCCTGCCAACACCCTAACTTTAGCCCAGAGAGGCCCATTTAGGACTCCTGACCTCTGGAGCTATAATATTTTGTTGCCTTAAAATGTATTAAATGTGTGGTCACTGTCACAGCCACACTGGAAAACAAACATTCCCATTTCACCAAAAACCACGGCTCCGAGAGGCTGAGCAGCTTACCTGTGGCGAGTCAGGGTAGACACGTTTGCAACCATCCCAGGCTGGGTAGGTTCATCGTCGGTTCTGGAGATTTGAAGAATTTTGGCGCCCTTGGCATCATTTTCACAGGTTTTAATGGCAAGCAGGGGAAACAAGCCAGCAGGAAAATAATACCTTCAGCCCCCTGTGAAACTCTTTTCCCCGGGCTTTCTCTGGCGTCGTTCGTCCTCCCCTAACCGCGCCATCCCTGAGTATCGCCACCACTAATATCCCTGACTTCTAGGCGCAGGTGTGCACACTCGCACATGCGCACACACCCAAGCTCAGGTGTCTAGAGCCAGGCACACGTGCCCTCCACAGGAACAGGATCAAGGCCGCAGGTGATAGCCACAGAGGCCAATGGCGTAAATCCTGATCAACTTCGTTTACCCTGCAACAAAGGACTCCAGTGTCACCGTGTCTTCCTGCCGTCTTTTCTCAACTTTAGAGGGCCTGGCTCACACCCTCTAAAGCCTGCTGGTTCAAAGAGGAGCAAAAATTCCCTGAGTTTACACAGCTGGGATTCACTGATGATCTGCGGGTGCTCCTTCTATGCTAGACACCACCAGCCTCGCTCCTGAAGAGCAGTTGGTGGAGGTTTAGGGGAAGGAATACAAGGTCTGGTCAGAATTAGGAGATGAGGTGGTGGGGTCAGAGGTCACCTCCCGTGGACACTGCAAGTCATGCCAACTCTGCTTTTCCTGTGGGAATGCGTGCTGGAACTTCCACCTCACAAGTCACAGCCCCGAGTCCAGCTGGAACAGGACAAAAGCCAAACTGGCAGTGGAAACACAGACAACTTCTAAGCCAAAAGGAAGGAAGGCTTGGTCACCAGGGCAGGAGCAGCAGGGTGGACAAGGTGGAGGTGGAGGAATCACCCACCATGTTGGAAGGATGCAAGTCAAAATGTTCAATGACTTTTGAGTTAAAGTTACTTCTAGGCTCCACCCATTAGCTATTATAAAAGAATAAAATAAAAACAAATATTGGTAAGAATGTAAAGTCAGAATGCTTGTGTACTGTTGGTGGGATGTATAATGGCACAGCCACCGTGGACATTATAGAACTTCCTTGAAAATCAAAACAGAAATGCCATATGACCCAGCAAACCCACTTCCAAAAGTAGTACGGCAGGGACTTCAACAGATATCTGTACACCCATGTTCATAGCAGCACTACTCACAATATCAAAATGTAGACACAACCCAAGTGCCACTGACAGATGAATGGATCAATAAAAAGTAGTATATCCACACAGTGGAATATTATGCAGCCTTACAAAGGAAGGAAATTCTGACACCTGCTATAACGTGTATGAACCTTAAGAACCTGAGTGAAATATGCCTGTCACAGAAAGACAAACACTTATTATTCCCCTTACATGAGCTACTTTGAGCAGTCAAATCCATAGAGACAGAGAGTAGGTGGTGTTACCAGGGGCTAATGAAAGGGAGAAATGGGGAATGTTTTATGGGCCTAGAGTTTCAGTTTGAGGTGATGAAAATGCTCTGCAGATGGTGGTGACAGCTGCTCACTGTAAATGCACTTAATGCCGTTGAACTGTACACTTCACAATGGTTAAAATGGTCAATTTTATGTATATTTTACCATAATAAAAAAACTAAAAATTACTCCTAGGCCCTTGGCTTGTCTTCTGCAAAAGGCTGGAGACATACCACAGCATCAGTGCCTCATAAGGCAGAGAACATCATTAGAAGTGACCCTCACCTCACCTTCCAGAAAGGAGCCTCCTCTGCCAGATGGTTGCTCTCCACCTCCCTGCTTGGCTCGGCAACCAGAGGGATGGAGGGATCCCTAGGAATATAAGTGCTTATGACTGTATATATGCACAAAAGGGGGGAACACTGGGACTATGGAACCACAGAGGGGCATCCTCCAATCCACCAGAGGCAGCCAGGGAAGGTTGCCCAGAGGACGAACCATTTAAGCTGTGTTTTTTTGTTTTTCTTTTAAATATTTTATGTTTCCACTTTTTTTTTTAAGATTTATTTATTTATTTATACAAGCACTGGGTACAGTCAGAAGTGCGGGAGGGTGAGAGAATTCACCAGAGCCAGAGCAGAACAGGCAGACTGACGAAGTACACAGCTGAGGGGAGCAGCGGGCGGCAGGAGAGGTCTGAGCGCCATGTGGGACCCTCGCCGGCAGCCGGGGATCGAACCGGCACTGCAGAGGCTGCGGGCAGCTTCGCAACCCAGGGGTCAACCGCTGCGCCACCAGGGAGACCCGTAAACTGTGTTTTGAGCGGTGTGTAGGAGTCAGCTAGGCAAAGGCCTGGGGCAGCATGGTTCTGGCAGAATAGCCTGTGCTCATTGAGAGGTGAGAGATGAATGGATAGTTCAGTCTGGCTGGTGTGTGATGATAACAGACTGGGTAGGAGATGGGTGGGGGTAAGTTCTGGAATCACATGTCAAAATAAGATGGATTGACAGCTTGAGAGAGGGCTGGATGGACAGATGGACAGATAAGAGGTACAGGTTTCCCCTGCTCTTTGAAAGTGGACTGTTCCTACTTGGTATGATTTGGTAGGTTATTTTGGGGGAGTTTGAGAGCGCTCAAAAATGTTTCCAAATAAATGGTAATAGTGTTCCCAGACCCAAAAATAATCTACCAAATCATAGCAAATGGGAACAGTCCACTGTTGGAGAACAGAGAAAATCTGGGAAGCAGCTGTACATGCAGGCAAGCATGCATGATGACACCAAGTGTGGGTAATTGGGAGTTTTCTGTGAATTAACTTTTTGGTGTTTGGAAATTTTTCATAACAAAAAGTCACCCCAAAAATGACCCTGGAGGGAAAAAGATCCATTGGCTTTTCAAACTGAGGCAGAAATAAAGTGTGTGTGCAGGGGAAAGGGAGAGAAGCTGGGAGGAGTCAAACAGAATGCCAGGTTTGGGCACCTTACATTCATAAGGTGGATAAGCCTGAGGTTTCATGCAGGAAGACAGGGTTCATCCAGAGGTTTTAGGGGTCCCCAGAATCTACCCATCCTGCGAGGGATTGGTTTCAATGATGATGTGAGGACTGGGGTTCATGAGTATCCTCGTGATGCCCTTTGGCTGAATTAGCCAGGGAAGGAAAAAAGAAGCCCATTTGGGGCAGTGTTCTCACCTTGCAGGAGAAAATCCACACAGGGGTTCCGGAAGCATGAAGGAATACACAGTGGACTGGGTGAGGTCGGACTTCCTGGCTGTGTGACCTCTGCTCATCTGTTAGCTCCTCTCTGAGCTAGGCTTTCTCATCTATAAAAATGAGAGAGGAGCCACATCTCAAAGGCTCATGGGAGCTGCATGGGCGAGGCCAGCATGGCAAGGAGCCAGGGACCACCATCTTGAGCCTTCCGCTTGCACCTGCCCTGCCTACCTGGGCCTCCATCTACAGTCAGTCCTCCCCAGAGTAGGGATATGCCAAGTCCCCAGAGAGAGGAAAGCTGGTGGCACAGGGAAGCTACTTCCAGCTGACTGTCAATGGGCAGAGCTCGGCCTTGGCTACCCACCCATAGCAGCCCGTGTCCATTTTGGAAATCTAGGGGAAAAGACTCTGCACCCCACCTGCAGCCTTGGGGATAATACTCAATCAGAGCTGTGTCCGCCTGCAAGGGGAGCTCGCTTGGGAAGATGAGAACTCCAGGGAATGGTCCAGGGAGGCAGCCTGCCTCTTCGGGTCCCAGTAATAAGTCAAGGCCAAGTGCTTCCTTCAAAAAATAATTTATTCCACATATTTCCTGGTAGGTTCCTCTGCCCCCATTCCTGGGGAGCAGTTAGTCATCAAACTGTCTCTCCCTTCAAAACCAAGGGGGCCTCCCCCACCCAGGAAACACTCAGTTCCCAAAGCAATGTGGATCCTGTCCACCCACCTTGAGGGGTCAACGGACAGTTTGTCCTGCTCCCGCCCTCCGCGGCCCCGGCACCACCTGCACTTCCAGGGCCGTCACTGCTGGTGGCAGACGAGGAGACATTCTCAGGCAACCCCGCGGTGGGGCTTCCCCGGTCGTTGGCCTCCAAGTTGGCGTAACATTTGCTCTCCTCAAACTGCCCAACACAGGAGTGGGGGTAGCCAACTCCTTCCTTGGCCAACACCCTGGGGCACAGCGATGGGCCAGACCGAACGTGGGCCCGGGTGTTGCGCCGCCTTCAGAGCCCAGTGCTTGCGGGCACTGTGCAGAGACCCCCCTGTGCAATGGTGTGGTCCCTGTGATCCAGTGCTTGGGGTCCAAAAGCTCTGCCCCCTCCGGCTTGATCCCGCCAGAGACTTCATGGCAACTGGTGAGGGGGTGACAGTGACTTCCAGGGGCTGTCCGAGGAGGGCGGCAGCAATCACAGTGGTGAGCAAGCTGGCTTCCCAGGGCCTCTGTCCTCCCGGCCCAGGCCAGGGGGTCAGGCCAGGGGTCCAGGCTAGTCCTGTAGTTGGGGAGGGACTAGTCCTTGTTCTTTCTGGAGGGGACAGGCAGGCAAATGCCCCAGAGCAGTGGCCACACAGCTCTTTTGCTTTCCCAGCTCAAAAAAGGTCTGCTAGTAAGCAAGGCCGGCCAATGGGGAGTGCCTGGGACTCATAGGTGCCCTTTGGGGAACAAAATACCATTTTCTTCTCAATATAAAATCACCCCTACTCTTTCCTGGGCAACTTGATAGAAGTGGAATAAGCATCGTTACAAAAATAGATTTTCTCCTGTCTTGTCTTTACATTTCTTTCCTTCATATACTTATTCTGCTGGGATACAGAAGATGCTAATACCAGGAGCTGGTCTCAGATTAAAAAAATAAAAGATTCCATGATCTGATATAAAAGGAGCCTAAAAGAACACCTGGGTCCCACCTGCCAGGTCCCAGAAAGCAAAAGGAAGCTGGGGTGTTTGGGTTCAATTCATTGATGCAGCAAAAATTTTGTCTCAAGGGACAAAACAAAGAGAACTTTCTGACACGGAGCAGAGGCTACTTCTGCTTGGAAGGGACACTCCTGAGCCTTTTATTGAGATAGGAGTGAGTTTTGGGCTCACAGCCCTGCAGAAATGCCCAGGATTGTTTTAAAGCAAACCCCCAAATTCCTGGGGAGAGCCTGCAGTTGGTGGATCAGCCTGTGGTCCTGGGAGAGGCGGCTGGGCTGGGGTCAGGTGGAGGCCGGGTTATCCATGGTGGACAGGAGGTGGGCCACCTGGGCCCGCTCGGCCGGGCTGATGTGCTGGCTCATGTGCATCATGCAGTCGACAGCCACGTCAGGGTTTTCTTGAATCAGGCTGCAGGGGAGGGGCAGGAGGGGGGATTCATTCCCGTCATGTAGTTCATTGAGCCCCAGGCAGTGCCTGGAATCACTGGGCAGGGCTGGGCCACGTGGCTGAGCAGGGACAACCCAGGGCTCCCATGTCACTTCCCAACGTGGTCACCATGCGAAGGACAGACCTCTGGGGCAGGAGGGAATAGGGCTTGGGGGCTGGGGTGCCTGGAGGAGCAACAGCTGACCTGGCTGTTACGAGCTATGTGACCTGAGCCGTGGCACTTGCCCTGAAACTCAGCTTCATCCTCCAAAGGGGGAGGTGCTCCACTACCTACTTCACAGGGGACCCCAGGGGACTAGGGGGAAGCAAATCCTCCAGAAAGACTGGCAGAGAATGGGACCCAGCAGCCCAAGGCCTAGTAGTTCAGAATGTGGGTTTCCTACCAAACATGCTCTCGCTGTGACCCTGGACTAGTCACCCTACATATGCCAGCAAGAATCCTGAATCACAACCATCCCACACCCTCCTCATAGCATCCCAGGCCCTATGCTGGGGAGCAGCCGCCTCAGCACCTGTGGTTGTGCCGAGGCCGGGGAACCATGGGGTGCAGTGGATCCAGCAGCTACTCTGGGGTCAGGCAGCTGGTGGCCTATCCTGGCCCCAGCCTTGGAGGTGCCCAGCGGGTGGGTAGGCACGGGTGGGCAGCCACTCACCTGCGGATGGTCTTGAGGACAGAGTCGCGCTTCAGGTACTTGATATTCTCGTGGATGGCGGAGCGCAGGCCGTCCTCCACCTGCCAGTGCTGCTCCAGCCACTGCACCACCATCTGGTTGTTGTCCCACAGGTAGGCCTGGGGAGTGGCAGACGTTGCTTCAGAGAGGGACCCGCTGCTGGGTGGGCTGGCACCCTGTCCCACGGTACCTGCTGCCCCCCACCCCCGCCCTGTCCCGGGCCCACCTTGACGGCACCCTCTGTCTCCACAAACCAGCGACGCAGCATGGACTGGATGTGCACGTGGCTCAGGTCGCTGCTGACCCGCAGGATCTCCTGCTTGACCTGGTCCTCTAGTAGGAGGCGGCGCAGGCGCCAGTACAGGAAGGTGCGGGCTGTCTTCCACTCCAGGATGTCCTGCGGACACACCCAGGTCTGAGTCCCTCGGGAAGGGCCAGCAGGGTGGCCCTCTGCTGGACATAGACTTTGTGATCATCCCATCTGACAGCCAGGAAGCTGTGGTTCAGGGAGGTGGGGGCACCTGCCCAGGGGAGGCAGGGCCAGGATTCACCAGGGCTCTGGACTGGCTGGCCAGAGGCAGCTGAGGCAGGCTGAGGCCAACTGGGAAGCAGCACAGGACACAGGCAGGGGTGGGGGTAGGGGAGTAGGTGACTGTGGGGTGTCTTTTTGGGGGAAGGGTTGATAGAGTGGGGATGCAATGGTCAGTGGTGGGTGAATACTGGTTCCCAAATCTGCCCTAGCAGTTAAAAACACACGCAGAGATTAGACTGCTGGTCCCCGACCTTCCCTGCTTATAGGACTCTCCTGGGGATGTGACAAAACACCGATGCCTGCCATTCACCCCAGATATTCTGATTTAATTGGTCTGGAGAGCCACCAGGGCACTGGGGTCTTTTGAAGCTCCCCAGCTGATTCGACCCATCCTGAGGCCACATCCCCCCACTTGTTGGAAACCTGGCGACCTCAGGGTGGGTCATTCACACCCAGGTGGGCAGCTGCAGGCGCTTACAGAGATGACACCCTTCTCCAGCATCCGGCCCGGGGTGTCGTGCAGGTCGGCAAACTGCACCGCCACCTGGTGGTAGATGGGCAGCAGCAGCTCCTCCCGGGCCTTCACCCGGCCCTCCAGGTCCTTGCGGTCCATGTCTGAGAGCTCCGATGATGATGCTGATCCTGTGGGCAGCATACAAGCAGGTCAGGCCTTTGCGAGGGTAGAAGTAGGGGTGCTTTTTTTTTTTTTTTTTATAGAGGCATGCTTTATTTATTTATTTGTTTGTTTGTTTGTTTTGTTTACACATGCACTGGGCACAGTCAGAAGCGCGGGAGGGTGAGAGAATTCACCAGAGCCAGAGCGGGGAGCAGAGCAGGCAGAAGGACCGAAGTACACTGCTGAGGGGAGCAGCGGGCGGCAGGAGAGGTCTGCGCGCCATGTGGGACCCTCCTCCGGTGGCCGGGGAGCAGCCGGGGATCGAACCGGCGCTGCAGAGGCCGCGGGCAGCTTCGCAACCCAGCGCTCAACCGCTGCGCCACCGGGGAGGCCCAGGGGTGCTTTTTTTTAAAGGGGGCACAAAGCACAGTTTTCAGGACAGCCTCGGCTTCAACTCTAATAGTACCCCTGAATCAAGCTGCAATTTCAGCAAGAAACTGGGCTCACAGTTGCAAGACAGTATTCAACATGCGACTTTAAATCTTCCCCCTTTGGCTAAACCCCCGCCTGTGCCAGTAGACGACCGGTTACTATTGTCAATACGTATTTTGAAATATAATGAGGGAGACTGAGACCAAATATAAGTGTGCCTCATTTTAGTGTGTGTGGCAGATACTGCTTTTTTTTTTTTTTTAAACAAACTGAAGGTTTGAGGCAGCCCTGCCTTGAACAGGGGATCGGCTTCACTTTCCAACAGCACACGCTCACTCTGTCTCTGTGCCTCATTTAAAGTCTGTGCATTGTTGTTCTTTTTATTCACATAATGCTACTGCGCGCTTAGACTACACAATAGTGTAAACACAACATTTATATGCACTGGGAAGCCAGAAACTTCACATGACTCTCTTTATTGCAGGGCTCTTCAACCGAACTTGCAATCTCTGTTGTGCTGATAGACAAATTCATTCAAATATGCAAACTAGCAAAGCTCACCCAAGAGGAAGCAGATAGCTTGAATAGTCCTATATATATTAAAGACTAGATATTATTTGGTCCTGTATGCACTATTTGTAGTTAGGAACCTTCTATCAAAGATTCAGAGAAATCAGGCATTATCTTGACACCAAATGAGGTAAAGAAATTGCACACCTACACCCACCCACCCATCCCCTCCACAGACATAGTAATAAATCTAGTGAATGATATAGTAAAAAAGACTTTGCCACCTAATATGGACATTTAAAGAGAATTACATCTAAGGTCATAATCGTGAAACAAAACCATCCCTCAAAATTGATAAAATAAAAAAAAACTTATCTCTGGAAACTCTAAAGTGACATTTTGCTACCAAGATTTTGAAGTTTCTTATCAGCCCTAAATACCTCAATTGTCATGCCTTGTGTGTGCTGAGAGGAATTCGCTGTTGTATAAATATTTTAATGCTAACGGGGTGAACGTTTAAAATATCTCACAGTTCTTATAGCTGTGTTTGCTTGGTATGCATTTATTTGTAACACACTGGAGCTCCCCAGGATGGAGAGGCTGGTCTCATTTGACCCCTGAGAGGTGATACAATTTGGACCTTCTCACCTAGCTGTTCCACGAGCTTCTTGTAAACTGGGTCGATCCTTCTCATGGCCTTCATCAGGTCTTTCTTTCGGAACTTAATCTCCACTGTTCCCTCAGGCTCCAGAACACCCCCCCTAAAAAAAAGAAGAGGCAGGGGTGGGGTTGGTGAGGTATCTCCCAACAAGCAATAGCCAGGAAATGTGGGGTAGAGGCAAGAGAGCCAGGAAATCTGGGATTCAGTTATCAGCTCTTTCACAGACTCACTGTGTAACCTTGGACAAGTCACTGGCCCTCTAGTCATCTGGTTCTGTATACATCACGAGAGGGACTGAATCAACTTTTTAAAAGTGGATGCTCATTTCAGATTAGTAAAACTGTAGGCTCTCTATCCTTCACCACACCCCGACGACCCCGGTCAGTGGCTCAAAGTTGAGGGGGCCTCAGGATTGGGAGTGAGAACAAGAAAGGCTAAGCCAGATGAGGGGGAGACACACACCTGCTCTCTTTGTCTGCATACATCTCGATGCACAGGGGGTTGATGGTGGAGTCCACCACCACCCAGGAGCCACCCCGGAGCTCCGCATAGGGTGGGATATAGATCAGGATGGGTTGCTTGTACTGCCTCAGGCCATCCACAATGTAGGCTCCGAACTTCAGCACCTGGTCGTACATGTCTGAAAAGCAAAGCAGCCACCAGAGAGTCCACCAGTGACTTTATACCCAGCACGCGCCCATGCAAACCCCACAGTCTTCATGTCCTGGGTCCCGAGAGCATGCTCAGCTGGGAGCCTTCCCAGCACCGAGGAAAGAGGACTGGGCTGTGAGGCAGGAGCCAGTCTGGGCTCTGACCATTCCCTAAGTGTCTGTGTGACCTTGGACAAGTGACCGTCCCTGCCTGGGCCTCAGCGTCATAGCGCACAAGCAATCTCAAAGATTCCTTCCAGCTCTGACTCTGAGATGCCATCACTCATGACTGCACCCACCCTACTGTTCCTACCTCACAAACCTTCCTCTCCCAGCAACACCACGGCCCTTCCCTCCGGCCCAGAGGCAGTGTGCCCCTCATTTTCCACCAAGATGCAACCCTCCAAGCACCGGGCACCCTTGGTGGTAACAATAAAGGAAAATCAACCACGATCACACAAGAGCTAATGCCAGCAGCACACGAATGGCTCATAGAATCCTTCCCTTGGTCCTCTGAGGCCTGTTTGGTAGCCTTAATCCCTTCACAAAGGAGGGAAACTGAGGCTGGGAGAGGTCACCTGGCTAACAAGGGTCCCCACAGAGGGCCAGCCTCTTGAAATGTGCTAGGCAGCTTGAGTAGCACTTGGACGAGGTCAGGTCACAGCAGCCTCTAGGAAGGCAGGGCACGTGCGCCCTCTCGTCTCACCATAGGGAGGTGGCCACATGGGAACCGGCTGTGTCCTGGGGTGCCCCTGCTCTCCCTGCCCCTTGTGATGTGACCTCCAGCAAGTCACCCCAGGAGCCCTCAGTTCCTCCTTTGTAAAATGTGCCATTACCGGAACTCCTGGCTGTTGGGAGCTCAGCTAAGACAGTGGGATCCTATATTTGCCTGCAGCTTCAGGCACCATGGAGAGGTGGCCTTACCTTTCATGCCACCAGAGAAGCCCCTCCAGTTGGCAAAGATCATCAAGGGTAACTTCTCGCGGTTGAAATCCTTAATGGCCTGGGCTGTCTTGTAGGCTGAATCTGGGAACCACACCTGGCCCGCCTGCTGAATTATCTGGAACGCAGAGCCACCCGGGTCAGATCCTCTGTGCAAAGTGGCTCAGGACACGAGGGCAGTTGCTCGAGTCCAGCACTGGCATTGGCACCAACATGGAGCCAGGGCTCAGCTACTACTGGCCTTGCTGGACCTTGCACAGCAGCCCCTGGAGGTTCCTGTTGCCCCATGTACAGGTTCATGGCACCAACGGTAGAATCAGCCACAAAGCCAGGCCTAGGAACTGCCCTCGGACTTCTGAGCTCCTCTCAGCATGCGTCATGTTCCCCCCACAGCAGCCCCCGGAGGTTCCTGTTGCCCCATGTACAGGTTCATGGCGCCAATGGTGGAATCAGACACAAAGCCAGGTCTAGGAACTGCCCTCGGACTTCTGAGCTCCTCTCAGCATGCATCATGTTCCCCCCACAACAGTGACAGGGCCCAGGGCATGAGATGGGAGGCATTTCCAGAAACCTCTATCATCCTCTGAGGAAGAAGCATTCCACAGAGAGTGCTGCAAAATGGGTACCGAGCCTCTAGAGCCAAGGACCCCCTGACTCTGCAGCCAAGGCAGTCAGGCAGCCACCAAGGCACACTCTCGAGAGCTGAGTCTGCTGAAACAGCAGCCCAGAAACCCTTCCTCTCACCTTGGCCTCAGAATCCAGGTTGGCAGGGTCTGCGGGCACAGCCACCTCCACTGTCCGTGTCTCCACAGCGATCACTCCAACAGGGATCCCCCCCAGCCTGCAAGGTGGGGCACAGGTGAGCCAAGTGCTGATAGCACTGCCAGGTGGATTCGGGGCCAGTCGGGGCCACTCAGCCCTGGCTGACATTCTATGGGTTTTCTGGGAATGGGTAGCCATGGCTGGACTGGGGGTATACGGAGGACACCCCTCTTTCACTCTGGCAGGTAATTTTACTAGAAGGCAAAGAAGCAGCTCCAAAGCATTTAGGCCTCACACATTACAGGCTGGAAAGGTACTGTCAATGCTCTTGTTGGGGTGCTAGATTTTGTGGGTGGGGAGGGTTAAGCCAGGTCAGTCCACTAGAACTTTCCATGATAGTCATGTTCTACGACTACATTGGCCAGTACGACAGCCCTGAACGTTATGTGCCTGTTGAGCACTTGAAACATGGTGAGTATGTCTAAGGAACTGAACATGTATCCTCTCATTTTAATTCATTAACATTCAATTGTCATATGCAGCCAGCAGCTACCACAATGGACAGCACAGATCTAGAGGCCAAGTCACAGCTGGAAAGGGTCAAGGGATGTGAAAGCTGAAAGAGATTTAGCTTAGGGGAAGCCATGATGGCAGAAACCACCCCTGCTTGCTATGGGCTGGCCCATGTTGTGTGCATCAGTGGATTATTCTCATTTAGTCATTCAACAACCCTACAGAACTGGGGGATACGGAAGAGCAGACTTTACATAAAGAAAAGGCTGCCATATGAAAGAAGGAATAGATTTAATCTCAGTTTTAAAATAGCTTTTATTTATTTTTTACCCAGTTTCTCGGTTTATTGTAGCCTAGAGTGCTGCTGTGCCGCTTTCTCAGTTCATCCGTCTCTGATGCAAAAGTGCCTTTAAGTGACAACGCTGGGACACACATCTTTAATGACCCCATTTTTCTAAACTATGCTTACAAATTAAGCACAAGTGTGGATTTCAGAATCATCCCTCCAAGAGTCTCTTTATTCTGTGATGAGAGAGCTGTATAGAGCCTATGACTTGGCTCTAACGTGCTCCACCCTCTTGCTGTCAGTTTGGATCTCACAGGAAGTGGGATGCTTATATTATATTATCTGTACTTCTACAGAAAATATGTTTTAAAAACTAACGCTTGAGGAGAAGTGGCTCAGGGCAGATGGAGGCTCAGCTGTACTGAGGTCCCTAACAATAGTGACAGTGACAATCGCCTTAACCACATGTCAACACTCATCACCTTGTAAGTGTCTGACGTATATTATCACTTCTACTCCTCACAACAATTCCCTGGGGATAAATCATCACCCCTACTTTACACATGAGGATGCGAAGGCCCAGAGCACACTTGACCTCAGGTTTGATGTGGCAGCTAGGACTTGCAGCAATTACCTCATGCCAGGACTCTGAGGGGTCAACTCTGAGGCTGCTGCTGTGACCTTCACAACAGGAGGAACTTTCGGGCAGAGGGAGCTGTCCACAGAGGTGGAGGAGTGAGCTGCTCGGCTCTGAAAGCTTTGAGCATCTGAGCATCCCGCCCATTGTGCACACACCAGCTTCCACTGCTTGCACCCCTGCTGAAATGGGGGTCACAGTTGTATGTGCAGTTTTTTGGGGTGACACACAAATTCTGATCCCCAAAGAGATACAAGGCTGCTGGGGCTAGGAAGCCCTGCCCCAGGAGTGGACACCAGGGGTAGGGGTGCCAGCCCCCAGCCAGAAGTTGGTTGAGGGGGCTTCTATGGCCACAGACGCATCTAGGTTTTATGACGTTCATCTTCCAGAAAACCATGTCCCAAATTGCTTTTCCTTTCAGAAAATCCTGAGGCCAAGAAGAAAGTGTTCCTGGGGGTGATCTGGAAGGAAAGACTTTCCAGCCCAGTACCTGGGGGTCCCAAGATCTGGTAGGCCAGGTGCATGCAGCAGGCCCTGTCCTCAGGCTTACCTTGCTCGCCCTGTCACCACAGTCTGGGCCCAGGGTGCCATGATTTCCTTGAAACTGCCCTGGTCAAAGAACCCGCTCTGCCAGGATCCCTTCAGAGCTGTGGGTAGAAGGACAGAAGGCCAGGTCAGGGGGCTGGGTTGATGAGGGTTTCTGGGCTACCTGGCAGGGCATATTGCCCCATAGTCTAAGATAAGGAAAGCTGCTTTCCTGGGAAAATTGCACTACCCTACACCCCAGTCAAAACAACCATACCAAAAACAAAGAAGAAAAGGCAAAACCCAGGGCAGCAAGAAACACACCAAGTCAGGAACTCAATCCACATGGAACCTCCAAATACATGGGTTCCCACCAAACACACCAGAATCCTGACAAAAGCCTCTGCCTCCCTTGGTGGCAAGGGGAGCAGATGGACACCTGGGAAGGCGGGGCTGCAGGAAGAGGTGGCCCGCCTGGGGAAAGTCATTCCTGACCTGGCTGGCTGCCTGCCACTTAACAGGCACTTAATTTCATTTCCCAGAGAGAAAGAGAGAATATGAGGACGTCAGCTGCAGCTGTCCCTGGAGGAAATGGAGCCTTCAGTTCCTAGCATGGTGGAAGCGACCATCCTGCAGACAAGAAGGGCCAGGCCGCCTGAGGGTCTCAAGTTGCAGGAGCGGCTGGCTCCTGGGACTGAAGCAGCCCAACTTCAATGTCAGGGCTGGTCCGACAAGATGGAGAAAACTGTCAAGATCAAACCAGCACCTTCATGGTCACAGGCAAGAAAGCCCACGAGAAATGGGAGACAGAGAAGCCACAGGGCCACCCTGGAGGGCAGAGTCTGGCATGGTCCTGGCGGCCACCTCTACTGCACCATGTGGCTGGATGAAAAGGCTGAGGCTAACGGTGGTTGGTAGCACGTGAAATTCTAGCCTAGGGATTATAGTAACAGGGGTAGCTCAGCTTTCCTGTTCTGTTTGCTCAGAATATAACCATACACCTCCAGGAGGCAAGCCAGCCCCTTTCAGAGAGAGACAGAGAGGAGATACTGTCAGTGTGGATGTGCATGTGTGCATGGATGTGGAACAAGCTAACCTGCCCATCCCAGGTGAACTCACTTATGATTTACAAGAGCACCCTTGAAAAGGGTTAGCCAGATAGAAAAGGATGAAGGAAACAGAGAGGCAGTCTTCCATGTGAAGTTTCGACACTGGATTTTCCACATATGCAATCACGGTGTACTTTAGAAAAGGAAGCCGTGGGGCCTCCCTGGTGGCGCAGGCGTTGAACGCAGCACTGTGAAACTGTCCAGTCTCTGCAGTGCGGGTTTGATCCCGGTCAGCCAGGGAGATACATACATGGCGTGGCAGATCTCTCCTGTCTCACCCGCTGTTCCCCTCAGCAGAATATTTCTGTCAGTCTGCCTCTTCTGTTCCTCGCTCTGTCTCTGATGAATCCTCTCACCCTCCCACACCTCTGGCCTGTACCCCGGTTCTTGTATAAATAAAAATAAATCTTCTTTTAAAAAAGAGGAAGCCATGGCCTCTGCTGCACCTCTGTCAACTCCAGACCAGAGGCTGTTTCCATTCTTTCTTGTCAATAGTTCAGGAAAAGCAAAGAGTTACTGCCCCTGAAATTTATCTCAAGTGTACCTGTCTGAGATGAGTGACCATCAGCACTTCCACCTAATGTTCTTCTGTCCAGGACCAGACAAGAAACCCAAGACCCAAGCATCAGGCAAAATGCATTACAACTTACTTGGGTGAGGTCTTCCTGAAAGCATCCATCGGGGGTCGTAGGGAGCTCTGGATGGGATGAATTCAATTTCTCTGTCAATGGGGTCAGTGGCTGTGGTGATAGGGACTGGACTGTGGTTATCCTAGGAAAGAAAAACCAGGTCTTCAACTCAGTCTCCCTTGCCATCAACAGTGCCTGTGATCTGCTCCTTGCCCAGCCTCTTCTGACTGCTATGCCTGGATACAGCAGTAACCCCTCTCTAGGATTTCTAAAGCCACCGTTCTGGTTGAAAAATGTCAGACAAGGACTGGCCATCCCAGAGAGTCTCTTGAAATCTAGTTTATGGACTCCTGGACTCACTTCAGGGTGCAGATAGACTCCATGATGCTAGGAAGTAAAAAAGAAGGCACAAAGGCATTGTTACAGCTACACAAAGCCAGATTAAGAGGGAAGGTGGGGGAAAGAGGCTGGCTGCAGACAGTGATGAGCTGGCAGGCAATGGGAAAACCCACCGCAAGGGAGTGGGAACGGACATTTATGATATTTAGACTTGGGGTTCTTTTTTTTAAAGATTTATTTATTTATTTATTCAAGCACTGGGTACAGTCAGAAGCGCGGGAGGGTGAGAGAATTCACCAGAGCCAGACCAGGGAGCAGAGCAGGCAGACCAACGAAATACACTGCTGAGCGGAACAGCAGGCAGCAGGAGAGGTCTGCGCACCATGTAGGACCCTCCTCCGGTGGCCGGGGAGCAGCCAGGGATTGAACCGGCGCTGCAGAGGCTGCGGACAGCTTCGCAGCCCAGCGCTCAACCGCTGCGCCACCAGGGGTGGCCCTAGACTTGAGGTTCTTGACAGAGATGTAAGATAATCTGGTCTCTGGAAACTACCTTTTAGAAATAATTATCATGAAGACCGACAGCCTCTCTCACTGTACAGACCGTGTGAGTCAAGTTAATCAAGAACCATGTTCGTTAGTTTCTCTTCTTAAGCTGCTGGTCAGTAGATGCCCCGTGAGCCAGAGAGGATGAGGATCACCCTCACTGAGCAGTCAAAAAAAGGACTCAAGCATCACGTAGGTGACACCTTGTTAAAGAAGCCCGGCCCGAGGCAGCTAACGTCCACATTCATGAGTAGCATCCGGACTATCACTCCACTTACTCATCATGAAAACACCACAGGGGAGTGCCAGTTATGCCACCTTACAGATGAGAAACCAAGGCTCAAAAGATTAAGAGACTCCCTAGGAGACACTGCTACTGAGGAGGAAGCCAGAGATCAAAGCCAGGCCAACCACAAAGCTTGAGGGATCACTATGGTCAAGAGGCAAATCACCCCTTCCTAAAGGCTCGACCAATCATATCCTGATGACTGAATTTTCTAAAAAGTAAAGTACAGCTGTGCAGGGCTGGGTGTCAGTAAGAGAAGAAGAAAGAAAAATGAATCCCAGCGACCTATGCATTGCTCCCTGCTCCCTACCCTACCAGCCCACACTGCAAATGAACTTGGTGGCAGAAGTTGCTGGGATTGTGTGCATTGGGGTGGGGGGCACTGCACCTTTGGCATGTAGGACAGCCACTCCAGGATGGTGTAGACGCCCTCGAAGTCATCTGGTACGGTGATGTGGGAGACGCCGTTGTAATGCATGATCTGCACTCCACCCAGCTGGTTGTTGGACGTGTAGACCTCTCTGCCCAGGACCTGCTCTGACACAGCATGGTTAGCAAGGTCCCGCCTGGCCCGGGCCTTCTGCCACTTGGAAATCACCTCCTGGGTGCTGCTCAGCCCAGGTGGCACATAAGCGTGGCTGGGGAGCTTTCAGAAACCCTGCGGTTGGGCTGCACCCAGACCCATGACATTAGGATCTTTGCTTTCTTTTGCTATTATAGATAATTCCAATGTGCAGCCCAATTTGAAAATCAGTGATCCAGCAAAGTCCCCCAGGTGTTTCTGATGCAGCAGGTCTGCAGTGGGGCCTGAGAACACACACTGCTGGCAAGTTCCCAGGTGCTGCTGCTGCGGCTGGCTCAGACTTTTGAGACCCTGGGTGGGGTGGGGGTGGGAGGGCGGATCTTAGCAGATATCATATGACACAAGCTTTAGAACACGTTTCCATACAGTGAAAAAGAACACCAAGTAGCACATTCACTAAGTGTCTACCACGAAAAGACCGGAGAGGGAAACAGTAGACCAAGTTACATTCGGAGCAACAGTCCTTTTTCTTTGGTCTTTTTAAAATTTTCTGCAATGTGCAATGCCATCTTAATACATTTTTAATTGAATGATTTAAATTTGCTTAAAAAATGTAATGCAGAAAGTTAGTTCTATCAAAAGAGCTTAACATATAGATAGATGTATATACACACACATGCTGCAAACTGGATAAATAGTAGGACTGAAACAGGTTTCCTTTGAGGAACCCACCCCCGCCAATCAGGAGACAATGGGAATGTTAAATGACCCCTGGCCCGCACCTTGTTGAGAGCACTGGCTCCTGTGAGGATGATGTGGGAGTTTTCCACCTGGATCACCCGCTGGCCCAGCCTCACCAGGTAGGCCCCGATCCCAAGGGCTCGGCAGGTCACCTGGGGAGACAGGATCCTTTCTGAATTCCCGAGGATAGCCCAGGAACCCGCTGGGCACACATGGAAGTCAGAGCTTGGCCACGGCAATTGATTCGGGGCCAAACAACAAAGGCAAAAAGCCTGATCCTCAGGCTCGCCTGGCCTTGGCCTCCTGTCCAAGAAGTGTTTCGAAGAAGTGTTTAAAGATAGAGCAGACAATGGCTCATTACAAAGGGCTCATTATCTCTTTACTTTTGTAACTATTTTGAAGTTTCATAATATAAAAGGTTGAGGTATAAAAGAAAAACTAGGGGAAACTCACCAAGCTGATAGTGACGATCTCTTCATACGCCAGGGAAGACTCCCCCGCAATCATGCCTGAGCCCCTCAGATTCTCCACGCCCAGGCCATCATCCTTCCCAATGATATCCGTGACCACATACCTTCAAGAACCAAAGACTGAGGTCTAGTCGAGAAAAATCCAAGAGGGATGCATAGCCCAAGACCAAAGGCAGAAGGAAGAGAAAGGTGAGGGTAGGAAGGTGACAGCAGGTACAGGCAAAGGGAAAGCAGGGGTCTAGGGCTTTCATGATTGGCCCAAAAGTTGCCAGAAAGGCAGGTATGGCACCCCCATTCGTCACCTTCCAACCACAGACGTCTGTTTGGAGGTTGTTTTATTGAAATGTCACCCCACCTAGCATTCCTCCAAAGCAACCTAGGATCCTGTTAGATCACATTAAACAGTGTTTCTCAAGCTAGCTTGGTCATGGAAAATTTTCTCTCTACCTCTCACTTCTCATATCACCAAGTAACCAGAAAACTTAGCCTAGGAAATTCTGATTTACTCACTAAAAAAAACGAAAACAAAAACAAAAAAAAGGCAATATTCCCTGGAAAAGATAATCTTTGGCATTCTTACCAGGCAGAGCCCTCACCCTGCCCACACCTGCACAGCTTGCCAAATGACAGTGGCATCACTTTGGCTAATTCAGAGATAGGCCGTGAGCCTGCAGCTTCTGGGACATGGTGGGGGAGAACCTAACTCTGGTTTTGTGCAAGGGGTGACTCATTATGGACTGACAAGGATGGGCTCACCCTGGCCAACACCCCAGGTGTCTAAGTCACCTGTGCCCACCATGGAGTGCCACAGGGCAGCGCCACCATCCCACTTAAAAAGATCATCCCAAACCCAGAGACAGAGACGATTCCCCATTCACTGCTGAAATTCCCTGCAGGGGAAATGAGTTCCCCCGCCCGGTGAGTTCTTTACCTGGACTCTCCTCCTTCCTCGATGTGTGTACAGTGGATGGAGTTCAGAGAGCTGATTTTGGTGTAGTCTTGAGGGGTCAGGTAGAGGTATTTAAATCCCTTAAGAAAAAAACAGACTTCAGTGAGGTTCTGAGTCTAACCCCTGCTTTTAAAAATGTCATGTTAGCAAACGGCATGTTTACCACAGCATGTTAGGAACCTGTTACCTTGGTGAATGTTAACACCACTGAGTCACAGGTGGAAACTGGAGGTCTGTGCTGTGGGAAACGCTAGCCACTCATCCTCACCACACAACCTCACGGGTTTGCCCTGACCCAGGGTTTCTCAATTAGTTTCCTAATTACCACCCTCTCCTAGGATGCCCGTTTATGTGCTGTATGTGTATCTGTGTTGAAGAAATAAAACGTAGGATTCTTTCTACCCCCACCCCCACCCCAAAATACAATGCTAGGTAAGGGGAATCACACCCCTCCCTGGTGCTGTGACGTACTTTGAGGGGGTCTTCTGGGTCCACCCAGGCCACCTGGAACATGTGTTTGATCTCCTCCGCGAGGCCAATGCGGGCCCCACTGTTGGCTGCGAGGTAGATTCTGGGGATGCCCTCTGCCCGGGCCATCTGCGATGCCCGCACATACAGAAGGTCTTCCCCGGGGCCGAAGGACCCGATGCGGAAGGTGATATCGTTGCTGATGACGATCACGTCTCGCCCTTCTGGATATTCTCGGGTCTTAAACCTCATTTTGAAGGCCACCATGCCCACCTGGGGAGGAGGCGGGCACACGGGAGAAGGGGTTCGTTCTCTCAGGTGGGGAGTTTGGGGAAGGGCCATTCCAGCTCGGCTGGCTGTGTTCTCACCTCGTTTCCTCCGGGAAGCCGGTTCATCTCCACCAGCTGGCCCTGTGGGTCCAGCACCAGCTCTGTGTACGTCAAGATGTCTTTGGGGTACTGGTCCGGGGAGCCCCACAGTTTAAAGAGAGCCTGGAGAGAGGGAAGGAAAGAAAAACCTGAAGTCATCAGTAGGGAGGTATATTTTCTAGTTCTGTTTCTTTTATCAATTATTAAAAGTGCACAAAAATTCAGGATAATAAATATATGAGCTCTCATCTCATGTTTTTGTCAAATCACAATTTTTTTTCATAGATGCTTAAGTGTGGTGAAGCTCCTGGTGTACCCCTCCCAACCCACTCCCAGCCTCCTTCCCACCAACCCCCAGGTACCCATCTTCCTGAATTTGCTCTCTCTGCATGCTGTTGTGTTTTAATTTCACCCTATATACATCCATTAAAAAAATAAAATGTTGGGGCCTCCCTGGTGGCGCAGGGGTTAAAGTCAGCGCTATCAGGCTATCTGCAGCCACTGCAGCATAGTTTGATCCCTGGCCAGGGAGCGACATGGCACAGCAGATCTCTCCTGTCTCACCTGCTGCTCCCCTCAGCAGTGCATTTCAGTAAGGGAATTCTTATAGGGGAATTCTCTGTTCCTTGAAAGTTTACAAAAATTGTTATAAAGTCACCAGAACCCAATTTTAGTGGTGAGATTTTTTTAAATTATTATTTCAATACTTATAATGCTTATAATCTATTTAGATGTTTCACTTATGCTTGTGTCAGCTTTGATAAGATATGCTTTTCTAGGAAATTTTCCATTTTAAGTTTTCAGATTATGGGTTTCCTAAAATATTCTGCTTCCTTATCTAAATGAAAGGGGACAAGCAGCTCTTTCTGAGACAAGCAGCGCTTGTGTCTATGCAAATGTCCTTTATTCGTCTCTCCCTTTTTTTTAAATAATAAACCTGCACTTTCGGATGTTAAAAAAAAAAAGAAAAGAAAAGAAAGGAAACGAACTTACTCCTAGTTTGTCTGTTTCTTGCCCTGTGGCCCTTGAGTTCAGAGGACACAGACAATGACGTTCTTAGTCATAAAAGCTCCCATTTATTAAGCACCGACTAAATACATATATTTCTTATAACAACTTGCAAGATGAGTATTATTATTATCCTCGCTTTACAGAAGAGAAACTGAGACCCAGAGAGGTGAAGGGACTTGCCCAGGGACAGATATAAAGCACAGGGAGACCCAGGAGACAAGCCCAGGTCTGGGGGACCCTAGACAGCAGCTTTTCCTACTATTCTGCAGCTCCTATGCTGAAGGCCACTGTCACCTTCTTGTCTACAGTGGAAGGTCCACGACCTGTTTCATAAACATCATTCACCAGCAAGGGACAGGGATGTAAACAGCCCTCCAATGCCAGTGTGTTCAGTCTCCTTCAAAGGCCCTACCATGTTTGAAAAACAAACAAACAAACAAACAAACAGCTGGCCTCCCCTGGTGGCGCAGCAGTTGAGCGCTGGGCTGTGAAGCTGCCCGCAGCCTCTGCAGCACCAGTTCGATCCCCAGCCACCAGCAAGGGTCCCACATGGCACGACAGACCTCTCCTGCTGTGTCCACTGCTCCCCTTAGCAGTGTACTTCATCAGTCTACCTGTTCTGTTCCCCGCTCTGGCTCTGGTGAATTCTCTCACCCTCCCACGCTTCTGACTGTACCCAGTGCTTGTATAAATAAATAAATCTTTAAAAAAAAAAAACAACCAAAGGCATAGAAAAGGCAGTTGAAGGAAATATACTAAACTGTTATTGTAGTCATCAATGGCAGAGAGATTAATTACACATGGGAGAAATTTCATTTGCTTACTCCTACTTTTTTGAATTTCCCAAGTCTACCTTAATAATCTTCCCAATTTTCTTTATTTTCCTCTATTTCTATACCATTATTGGAATAAAATCTGGTTTGTTTAGAAAAAAATACCAGGAACTCATCCCCAGTATTAATTTCTCTCTTGACGAGGACCTAGTTCTGTAGCCGGGGCCGGGGGGCGGGGGCGTGCAGTGCTGGCGGCCCCCAGAGAGGACCCAGGTGGTGGTGCACCTGAGCTGCTGGACTTGCCTGCCTGAACATCTCCGGGAAGTCGTACACGTAGGTGGTCCCCAAGGACTGGGCCTGGAACCGCTTGGCCTGCAGCAGGTCCTTGGTGACGTAGGGAGTGTTGATCAACATCCCGTGCTGGGGCCCCTGCTTGTTGCCAAAGGAGTGAAACATGATCTGGACCAGAAGGAAAGAAAGACAGACAGTAAGGAAGACCAGCCTCAGAGAAGCAGTCTCTAGCCCCAGTGATTTCTCCCCTCGCCTCAGTGAAAACGCCACGGTGGCGGGTGGGGGAGGCAAGCAGGTCTCATCACACAGCCGAGTGCCAATCTCCTCCCCTTTGCCACGGTGGTCCACCAGCACCAGGGGCGAGTGTGGTGACGTGGCTCCAAAAATGTATTAGAGTACAACACACCCAAACAAGACTGGGCGTGAAAGTTGGCGAAATCTGAATGAAGTCTGCATTTGAGTGAGCGTGACTGTACCAGTGTCAAATTTCCTGTTTCCACAAGGTCCTGAGTTATGTAAGATGCAATCACTGCACACTGTTACTATTTTTTTTTTCTCTCTACTATTTTTGCAGCTTCTAGAGAGTCTTTCAAAATAAAACGACATATGTGACTGCCAGTGGGAAATTTAATTCTCTTTTTCAAAGTCTGTTCTTAAAACCTGATTGGGGTAAATATCCATTTCCCTCAGTGAACCAATCTGAGAAATTGATTATAATCAACCACGCTACTCCACATTTTATCTCAAATGTAGTCCTAGAATGGATTAAACTTTGCATGCATCCTCCCTGGGAGATTGCGCTGGGATTTGGAAGCTAACACGTTTATCATAAAACGCAGAGGAGCGACCCCACCCCAACACAGCAGGTGACATGGGCACGGTCATCCCTTAAACCTATGGCTCGCTCTCCCCAGCAGCGGGCCTCCCTTGGACCTGCGCTTGGGGGCCCGCCCCGCCTTACGTTTCCGGATCTGGGGTCAGTCACTTCTTCGTAGAGGCTGATGTCCAGGTAGTAGCCTGACTCGTTGGTGATGAAGAGGCGGATGGGGATAGCATTGCCGGCTGTGGACTGGCGGATGTTGATCTTGACCTCGGCCTGCAGCACACGGAGCTTCCACAAGCGGCTGCCGTAGCGCATGACCATGGAGCGCACTGACTCCTCGATCTGCCCCATCACAGCGAATGCAATTTCAGAGCCTGCTCTGCACATACCTGCTGTCATCCTGGCACTTAGAATAGTGACACAAGCTACCTACTGCATACAAAATGGCTGGGACAGGGCCTCCCTGGTGGCGCAGGGGTTAAAGACAGCACTATCAAGCTGTCGCCAGCCACTACAGCAGGAGTTGGATCCCCGGCCGGCCAGGGAGGTGACCTACATGGCATAGCAGACCTCTCCTGTCTCCCCGCTGCTCCCCTCAGCAGTGTATTTCAGTAGATCTGCCTGTTCTGCTCCCCACTCTGTCTCTGGTGAATCCTCTCACTCCGCCCCCACCCCACCTCTAGTTTATACCCCAGTTCTTGCATGCATAAATAAATAAATCTTAAAAACAAAAAACAAAAGGCCTGGGACATAGTATGTATCCCACAACTATTCTCTAATGATAACCAAAGGCATCTAAAGCTCATTGTGTCATTCCAGCCTCAGTTTCTCAGAGAGGTGAGGTTCATATCTCTCTTTACAGATGAGGGAAGTGAGGCTGGTATATGAGAGCGAGTGCCTCCACGTAACACCATTTCTCTCTCCCACACATCTTAAGCATTTTCATCTCTGGGAACTATATGCTCTGATGGAGTTGGGGTATCCACATGGGGCATCTGCACCCACAGACGCCAAGCTGATGTACCAGGACTTTATCCCAGAATCACTACCATGCACTCTCTCTCTCTTGTGAAGACCCAGCCAATGGAGAAGGCCCAGGTTCTCACTCCCCTCCCACCCACACACCCAGGTTCTCACTCCCCTCCCACCCACCCACAGGGCCTAGAATCAGGAGGGGACATTTCGTTTTGCAGCATCTGCACTGCCCTGAGGGCAGCGTGGCTGTGAAGGGTGAATACCAGAGCACTGTCTCATGGGCAGTGGCTAAAACGTGCTCTGGAAATAAACCATGGAAGGTTATTCTCCACCTGAGCACCTGGGCTCCAACAGGCACATGCCCGTCCTGTAAGTCAGGTCGCGGGTGCCAGGAGGTACAGCCCACAGCAGCAGGTCACAGAGTGCCCCGGGGCCCTGTGAAGTGACACCCAGAGCCCGGCAAGAGCCCTGGTGAGACCTTGGAGGGGTCCATGATGACAGTGGGCACGAAGTTGAGGAAGATGTGGTTGCAGTCGGTGCGCACGCTGGTGTTGTTGAACGCCACTTCCAGCTCATCCATGGCTTCCAGCAATAGCCGCTCACCCTCGTTCTGCAGGTACTCAAAGGACGCTTCCTGCCAAGGAGGAGGAGCAGCCGCTGAGGCGGGAGGCAGAGCCCACCCCCTCTGTTCAGTGTCTCTCCCCACCCCACCACCCGCCTGGGCATGCCAGCCGAGGATGGCAGAGCCTGCCAGAGGCAAAGGGACAGCAAAGACTGTCTGGGGTAGTCACCGTGTCCTCTACTTTCCATGTTACGCTTTGACATCTGTAGCCCGGTGGACCCTGGAGGGGCGGCCCCTCCCAGAAACAGTAAGTGACCCTCCCATGAACACACTTTGCAATGCAAACTGGCCACCCCAGAGCACACGTCTTCTGTCTAAGGCTCACAGGCTCTAGGCCCTATCCGCACAATCCGCCCACCTGCCCTAAGCACCGCAGTGCCAAGTACCAGCCAACTAGAGATGGCACCTGTGCTCCAGAGCTGGCTGGAATCGCTCCAGCCACCCCTTCTAAGCCTGCTTACCCTGCCTCATCCATTCCTTCCCACAGAAGCCACAATAAAGGCTCTTGTCCAGTGTCCCCCTCTTCCTTTGCTTCTGGGGGCACCTTGGTGCTTCCTCTGTGACAGGGCATGTGCCCTCCTCTTGGGCACTGTGCGTACTGACCTCTCCTTTCAATGATAACTGTCTCTCATGTGTCGGCCTCCCCCTACCTGAATAATTTTTTAAAAAACCTATTAAGGTATCTAGTAGACTGAGGCAGCAAAAAGCCGAGATCAGCTTAACATCCACCCACAGGGCGTTAAAGCTTTCCACCCATGCTACGTCCACGCCAGGAAATAGCCTGGACCGTCTGCATTAGCATGGAAAGTAGCCTGCGAGTAACTGGACAGCAAAAATCAAGTCTTCAAATGATCCACCCACCCTGAGCTCCCAACAGTAATGTGACGTCTACAGTTCCTCATATAGAATTAGGCCTAGAAGAGTCTCCACCAAGGCTGACCCCTGACAGCCAGGCTTCTGGGTCCTTCTTGATTTTTAAAATTACTACTTAAAACCACTTTTACATACCAAGTATTGCTTGAGATTTTCACAATGTAATCATGGCTTATTTTTTTTAATGCAAGAAATAATAAAAATGATCACACAACCAGCAAACAGAAGAAAGCCCCTGAACAGTATCTCTCAATCCTCTTGCACTAAGATACACATGACACCAGCAGGGACTTGAAAATAACAACCAAAGGCACAGTCTGACTCCCCCCTACCCCCTTGTGGGTACAAGGGGAGGATGGTGTATATCCAGAACATCCTGCCTGCAGCCCAGGGCATGGCACAAAGTGGAGGGGGAAGGCCAGTGCAGGAGAGGACAGCCCTCCCTGGGACATTTTACCTTCGTTATCAGGTCCGAGTGCCTGATGATGGCGCGGATGAAGAATCTGTGGTCCGTGACTTCAGTACCTTCCTTCACCCTGGCAGCGCCCAGATAAAGGTGCATCTTGTGGTTGGCACAGGGCACAGCGGTCAGATCGAAGTTCCGCATCCGGTTGAGCTCCAGCTGGAACGCCAGGGCTGGCTCCAAGTGGCGGTAAATACGATCTTCTGCAAACTGCAGACCAACCAGAGAGTGGAGACACAGGACACATGTGAGATTTGATGTTGAGGCCACCCGCATGCCTGCCTGACCCTCGCCCCGTCCTGCAGACCCTTGGAGGTCTCGGGTATAGCACCTGATTGTGAGCAAGCCCCAGGGCTCAAGAGCTTCAGGGGTTTGCTAATGTAGGGCAGTCCTGAGCACTGCAATTTGGGGGTACAGCCTAATGCTCCGAGCTCATCCTCAGCACCTGCCAGCACTGCCAGCCTGTTCTGGAACAGCTCAGAGTATTTCTTGAGCAGTCGCTCAAGCCTATATCTCTTTGTGGAAGAGGAAGCAACTGACAGTGCTGGAGACGTGAAGAGAAAATGAAGCATCTAGAGAAAGGATGGGTCTTAGCTACACATCAGGCATTGGAGGAATTAAAATCCCAATCTCTGAATTTGGTGAAGGCTTGAATCTATGTTGGGAATAAGCCCTCTGATTCCAGAAGAGGGGTCAGAAAATTCTTAAAGGGCTAGAGAGGAGATGTGTTAGGCAGATGGACCACATGCTCTCCTCAGTCATGTTGATGGTGCAACAAAGCCCCCCAGATGATCGGTGATCAAATGGGGCGGTCGAGTTCTGATAAAATTTGGATTATAGAAACAGGTGGCCAGTCTACAAGCCCTAGTTTGCCAACCAGTGTTTGAGAAGAACCTAAGAAAGAGAGGTTGGGAGCACCATCTTACTGAATACACCAGCAAGTAAAAAGTGGTCCGTTTAGCTATTCCCTGAACGAGAGAGAAACCTGTAGCAAAGGCTGAAAGTTTGGGAAGCACAAGGTCCTGAGCTCCAGGGAGGAAACAAGAGGTTGTCATTGGAAACGTAGTCCCAGAGGAAGGCTGGAGTTCACACAAACATTGCTGTGTTCTAGAATGTGGGGGTTCCCAAAGGACCAGGAACTCTGCTCCTCGTGAACATCAAAGATAGCAGGAAAGAGGGAGCAATACTCCAGCATCTGCTCATACCTCGTCTCGTGCTCTGAATGTGAAAAACTTGGGAAATTCTTTCTGTAAAAAAGATATTCATACAAAAGACAATTAGAGCAAGCAAGACTCACTTAAATATCTGTGTACTTGTTCTGCGATTTCTAAGGCTAACCCTAGGTGCTTCTAGATGAAGCCTTTGAAAGCCTTCTCTTCTCCAGCCACTGATCTCTTCCACCCCACGCTGCAGGACAGACATCAAATCAGTGGCATGGAAGCTGGGGAATGGAAAAGCCTCGCAGAGATGGGCTGAGATTTGGACTGACCTCTTGGGCAATCAGGAATGTGAGTCTCCGGAGTCCATAATCCACGAGGATGTTTTTCTGCATTAAAAATGAAACACACAAAATAATAGTCATCCGTGTAAAGGAGGGACATTCTGATATGTATTCCCCATGGACAAACTTTGAAAATATGCCGGGTGAAAAGATCTCAGGCTGTAGGATTCCATTTGTGTGATATAATGAGCAAATTCATAGAAAGTGGATTAGTGGTAGTCCGGGTTGGCAAGGTGAGGGAGGTGAGAGAGGACACAAAGGTTCTTTTGTGGGTCAGGGGTGGTGAAAATGTCCTAAATATAATCCTCACAGTGATGGTGACACAACTCTGGGAATACACCAAAAAGCAGTGAATCATATATTTTAAATGGGGGAACAGTGTGGTATGTGAATCATAGTTAATAAAGCTGCATTTATTAACTATGATTTAACATAATTAATATATGTACACTCAACCTATATTTAATATATAATATCTATTTAATATATACATTAATATATTTAATAAATATAACTACACTTAATAACTTATATACACCATGTTTTTAAAACTATTTCATACCATCTTCAATCAAACTTGGAGAAAGGAAACTATTAAGTATTTTTTTAAAAGACAAGTTGAACCAAAAAAAGCCAAGAGATTACAGACCCGATGATTTCATTCTTAGGGAATTTAACAACAGAGGAAACGAACCCATGTTATTAGAAGTCAGGACAATGGTCAGTTATTGCTGGGGGTAAGGAAAAATATCAGGGGAAATAAATGGTCTTGGCCCATTTCAGAATGAGGCTCAACGACACACAGAAGACTCCTGAGAGACTGCAGGCTGGAAAGAGAGCAGGGTCAAGGGCACGGTGAAGTGGGGTCTGATGGGGGACAACCAGCCTGCTCACCGGAGCCTGATTTTTGGTTCTCAACTATCAAAGGATGTGTGTGTGTGAATGTAAGTGTATGTGCAAATGTGGATGTATGTGTTTGTGCAAATGTGTACACACAGATCTGCTTTAAGTAAAAAATGTTAAATCATATAGAAATGTATAATGTAAAAAAATATCTCATTAGACAGGGGCCAAGCTGCAGATCCAGTAGGGACACCAGCCGTGTCCAGGAGAAACAGGATGAAGGGACGCAGGCCAAGACCTCCACAGTGGGTGCTGTGGCTATGGGTTTTGTTTTAAAACCTACTTTTAAGCTTCATCTGTTCCTTAAATATTTTTCAGAATGAATATCATTACATAGTTGATTAAGGAAATGCTAAGTTACAGATAGCAATGTCCTAAGCTTTCAAGACATTACTTGTGACTGGTCATCATTCTCCTAACATCATCTATCCAGAGAGCACCAGGCCAGGTCCTCTGAGGGATGCAAAGGGGTGTCCCTTCCATGGTAGGAACACACAAAGAAGCAACTGAAAATTCCTACATGTTCTTGAAGTTCAGACCGAGAGAGGCTGGTAAAGGCAGGTAAAGGACTAAGAGCTAGACAGGAAGCCCACAGATTTGATTAACTTATGAGCTACAAATGTCAGTATTTCATTTTACAGATGGGAAAACTCACAATCAGAGAGGTCAAGTAACCTGCCCAAAGTCTCACAGCATCTGTTTCTACTACCCACCAAGCTGCTCCACATCTATTTGTAGCTGAGGTCCTGGAGCACACATAATAGCTGCCCCACTGCCAGGGTGAGAATATGCTGGCAGTGGTCACCACGTGTTTATACAAGCAACTTGTGGTTATTTGCATACATGATTGGTTGTTAATAAACTCAGTTAATAAAACTGAGTTTTCTGGGTTAGTAAAACAAAAAACTCCCCCTAAATCTAAAACTATTTATTGAGTGTCTGATGTATTGGTGGTGTGTTCATCCTTTGTCATTTAATCACTGCAACACCCTGGGGGAGAGAAATGCCATCCTGTTAGTGGGAAGACGTGGAGGCCTGCCAGTGGGCCAGCTCTGCCCACCGTCACCGTGACGAGTGGCAGCAGCTCGAGGATGGGAAGCCAGGGCTGCACACGGAAGAACTCAGCAGGACTGCCTCCCCAAGACCACTTGGGGGCATGGGACACCTCTCTTTTCAAGAGGCACCCCTTCCTCCAGGGGCCAAACCAGGCCACACGAACCTACCTTGGACTGCACGAAGGTCCGCAAAATCGGCACCAGCTTTTCATCCTCTAGGTGGTCTGAGCACTGGATCGCGACGTTCAGGATGTGAATCGGCTCCTCTCTGAGGTTCTGGGAGAAAAAAACAGGGGCGGGCAGTAGAAAGGTTTGGGGGTACCAGCCCATGCCCATCCCCTCCTAGGCTTGCTTCCTGCTCAGATACTTACCTTGCTGTCATCCTCAGAAAAGAGGGAATTGCGGACCTTGCTGAAGAGGGGAGTGTCCCTGGGCACGTTGGCGAAGCAGGAGATGACCTCATCAAAGTTTCTGGGGGGTAGAGGGCAGAAGGGAGGGTGAGGGGGACTGTCCCACATGGTTGCAGGTCAGCCCCATCCCTCCCTTTTCCCCAGCTACCCTCTGGGGGCTCATCCAGCTCTGCAGAGCTGTGTGGCTCCAGACTAGGTCCCAGGATCTCTGATGGCACATCCCCAAGAGGCAAGAAGATGGCACAGCTGGACACTCCCCTTTACTGGCTGGGAGACCCTCACTATGTCGCCTCATCTCCCAGTCAAAAGAGGAGACTAAAAGTAACCGCTGCACCTCCTAGGGCTGCTGTGAAGTGGCACAGGTAGGAAGCATGTGGCCAGGATCCAAATGCAGGGAGGCTCATACAAGAGCCTGCCTGCGTGGGAAGGCTGACTATTCACTAGCTTCCCCACCCATGTCAGCCGCTCTGCTCCGGGTATTTGGGAGACTCAGTACCTGGTGAAATCCTCAAATCTCCTGAAGGCAACCATGGCCCCCATCCGTTGGCACAGAGGGGAGAAGCCGCTGTCCATGAAAAGCTCGGTGCTGTGCCTCACCAGGTCAGGGTTGGTGATGCTGATGGGCACAGTCATCCTGCAGGGGACGGAAGGGGGGATGAAGCCTGTTCACACATGTGGCTCCAGGAATGATCCTGCCCCAGAAGCTTCCAGGAGTCACACCAGCATAAGAGACCCACCGCAAAGGGGTTTAAAGTAGGGGATGGAGGTGCCTGGGGTCAGGGCCAGGGACTGAGGAGTCTCATCTGATTCCTCAGGACCTGTTGTGGACTCCACAGTGAAAGATGCATACAAACACGGTCCCCCAACATGGTCCCCCAACAGTGCCAAGGTGTGATGTTGTGAGGTCTAGTGAGAAATATGTATCTGACCTCCGTCCCCATTCCTGGCACAGAGCTCCTACGCCCCTTGGGATTTCCTAAACCATGAGAGGACTAAAGGTGTCTTCTGTTAGATGGATGAGGGGATTTCTGCAAATCACTTAAGGATGGGGGTTGGTTGCCAAGGGAACTGATAGTGATTTGAGGCTAGAACTTTCAGCCCAACTCCTGATTTCTAGGAAGGGGAGAGGGCTGGAGGTTGAATCAGTCACCATCCCTTGGCGTTGGACCTAAGTCCCAACTACCCAAAACCTGGCTGGCCTCTCATCTGACCTCCCCTGGCCAAATTCACCACATGCCTGGCTCTACAGGCACGGGTGGTACAGCCTATGGTGTGGCCCAGCCAGGCTCTCCCAGAAGGGAAGACTTCCCTCTGTGTGGCCCTTCCAAAGGGCGGGGTGGTGGAGTCAGATGCAGGCAGAGTCCCGTCTGAGGCACTGGCCCTGACTATGCTTCTGATGCTCCCTGACACTCCCACCGGGAAGACCCAAGGTGGTCAGGAAAACCCTCCAGGATGTTCCCCTGGGTGAAACAGGATGCTGTGTCCACTCTGAGGGACACAATCAACAACCTGCTACACATGTGGGTCTTCCTAACCAATCAGGCAGGGCCCACAGGCTGGGCAGATGCCAACTGACAGCTGAGAAAGGAAAGGAATTCTTCCTCAGGGGCAATTTCAAGAATCTTTACAGTGCCCCTCCCACAGCACCCAAAATGGTTCCAGGCCACAAGCAGTCCACTCTTCTCTCAATTGGGCAAAATGTAATAATTCTTTTGTGGCTAGAAAATAGGGTAGAAATCGATGATGAGCAGGAAAAGAAGGGACTGATCAGAAAGCTGTCCTCTTCCTCATCCTTAACAGAATCCCTTCTTTCTTCTTAAAACCAATGGAGAGACAAACAGAGTTTTTAAATCCCAACAGACCAGAAAATTCCCTGTTGCCCGAGTAGGTGTAAGTTTTGATCAACTAAATGCCCAAATCACAATAAGACTGTTTTAGTCACAAGCAAGGCCTTTGAGACACCCGGGAGAACCAGAAACAGGGACAAGGAAGAGGAAGAGCAGGCGCCAAACCCCAGGGAGACAGAATTACTCCAGGAGGCGGTATTGCACTCTACCTGACCAGATAGGGACTTCGGGCCCTGGAATAAAATGGGTTAAAAAAAAAAAGTGAGTGAGCATGGAGACACACCAGGGCGTCCCCAGCTGAGAATATCATGGGGATTCGATTTTGGATGTGGAGAGGCCAATGCGAGCCCCTGCTACTGGCTGTCGGGTTCTCTCCCTGCTGTGGAAAGATCTCTGGGGTGAAAGAGGTAACTGCCCTTGTGAATTTCCCCATGCCCATTCCTTATACTTTGATATTCATGTATAACTCAAAAATAGATAGTGAAGCTTCTAAGCAGTGTTTGTGAGCTCATATTTATGAATTCTTCTACCAGATTTTTCACTCAATATTGTACGGGTCACTCCTGTATACTGAGCAGCTGAGGTTTGTTTCTTTTCATGGCAGTAGGGTATTCCATTACCTGGCCATATCACAATTACTGATTCATTATCTTTCTGAAGAATAATGAGGTCCTTTCCAGTTTTTGATACTACAAACAATAGTGTAGTGAACAATCTTGTATGTGCCTCCTCGTGCTAGTGTATGAGTTTCTTGAAGGTAAAGAGCGAGGAATAAAACTGCTCAGTCATGAGGGAGAAAAAAGAATTCGGCAGTGAAGGTATCACCAGGGATCAAGTGGGCAGCTCAGCCCATGTCAAATAAAAGGCCCCAGGGCTCGTCATCTGTGAAACAGAGATGAGAACAGTTTTGGCTGATACATAGTGAGGGCTGAATCAAGCAGTGGAATGTGGAGGCACTTATCACAGCACCCAACCAACAGCGTGCTGATGGACAGCAGTAAGAGTACCAGTCACACTGTTCACAGAGCTCCCCAATACTCATCAACAACTTTCTGTGTGCCAGCCACTGCCCTAAACACAGGGAATGGCTTATCTCATTCACTGGTCCTAATGGTCTAGGACTATACCCGCCAATCGAACTGTCCGTGGTGATGGAATATTCTAGAACTGCACTGTTCAACACGGCAGCCGCTGCACACTTTAAATGTAGCTGGTATGACCGAGGAGCTGTATTTTTTCATTTAATTTTTGCTTGCATTCATAGTCCGCATGCTGGTAGTGCTTACCACACTGGACAGTGCAGTGTATGAGGCAGGCACTAGTTTCTCTCTACTTTATAGATGAGAGACTAAAAATGTGGGGAGACCCTACATGGGGAGTATAGTATCCCTGATGTCCCCCCATCAGTGTAGCGCTAGGTCCCTCCAGAGACAGGAGCACAGCAGTCAGGGGGAGAAAAAACACAAGCCGCCTCCGCCTTGTGCCACTTCCTACCGGTTTGGGTGGGAGGAGGGCAGCATGAACTGGAATTCCACCACGCAGGTGCCGTCCGGGAGCTGCCGGTGCTGCAGGCTGTTCAGCTCATAGGCGATGTAGGCCCTCCGCACATAAACCTAAGGAAGCAGCACAACGAACACACTCTTAGGGGCAGCGTCCTCAAAACTGGAGGGAATCAGACAGAAGGGATCCCAGGAAGGACCCCAAGGTCTCTATGCAGAAGTTAACAGTAAATGTGCCTGCTGAACGAGGACCAGATCGTGAAGATGTGGTCCATCCCCCCCAGGGACACTATTCGCCACAGGAAAGACCAAGTGTCACCACTTACAGCAAAATGGAAGGTGCTCAAGGGGATTAGGTGGAGGAAGGCAAGTCCGAAAGGTAAAGATGAATTTTAGATGTTTTCGAATGTAAGAGTACAAGGGATCACAGCAGATAAATTAACAAAGCAAACTAAAAACTAGTGGACACTCAGAAATGAACTGAGGTTTCTGAGGCTAAAAGGGAGGAAGAAGGAGAAAGGGTCAGAGGGTTATAAGGGATGGTGGTTGGGAAAAGAAGAACGTAATTATAGATGTTAAAAACATAAATTTAAAAGTTTAAAATATTTTTAAAAAGCAAGTTTGCTCCCATTTCAGAATGTTACTGTCTCTGCAAAGGGCTAGATGGTAAGTATTTTAAGCTTTGTGGCATTTATCATTTCTATTGCCACTATTCCTTTCTGCTGTTGCAGCACAGAAGCAGCCACAGACAACATGGAAATGAAATTGGAACACAGCTGTGTTCCAATAAAACTTTATTTACAAAAGCAGTGGGCCAGATGTAGCCTGCAGCTATAGTTTGCTGAGTCCTGCAAGGCTGTCCAATAGAAATGGAACAGAAGCGGGCACCCTGGTGGTGCAGTGGGTTGAGTGCAGGGCTGTGAAACTATCCGCAGCCTCTGCAGTGCAGGTTCGATTCCCGGCCGGCCAGGGCGATTCCCAAGGGGGAAAACTGCAGGCTCACAAGCCCAAAATGGTCTCCATGGAGACACAGTCAGGATGGGTGACTCACAGGGTCTACAAGACAGCAGGAGAGTGAGTGGGGGACACAAGGGAACAGAGACCCTAAAGTCAGAGGGTGAAGAGATAGAAAAACCACCAGAGTCAGTCAAGTTGAAAGCACCAGACGTGACCCCATATTTTCCTGAAAGGTTTCTGAAAGTGCAGATTAAACACTCTTGACTCCTGAAACTAACTCATACCTCTCTGGCTTGAATTCAGCAAGACTGCCTAGCTCTACTCTGGGTTTGGCTGCTGGTGCCAGCCTTCCCTGCCCCTGGCACAAACTCACCAAGGTTCCACTCAGCTCCCTAGTGCCAAGCAGAAAAGGTCAATCAAAGGTCCCTAGGACAGGTGAGCAGGAACGCATGGACAAGGTGCCTCAGACTTGGCTCCCGGGGGTTAGTATTTAACTGGGCCCTGCCGCATGAGACTGGAACACCACATGAGATAGCAGTGCTTACTGGCAAAGACTCTGCCCTAGACAGACCTATTGTGAACACTGGCGCTGCCACTTCCTGGCTGTGTGACCTTGAGCAAGTGGCTTCACCTCTCTGAGCCTCAGTTCCCTCCTCTGGAAAACAAGGACAGTGACAGTCCCTGTCTCATGGAGAGAATGAGATCACGTTGGCAGGGCATGTGGGCCGGGGTCAGGCGGCATCAAACAACAGGGGATGCTGGAACTGGCCTGCACAGTCCTGGTGCTATCCTGTGGGCTTCTCCTGCTTACCTCCAAGGATGCCATGCACACGACTTTGTTAGTGTGATAGAAGAATGTGGGCAGGACGTCAAATATGGTTGTTTCCGAAAGGATTAATTTCTACAGGAAATGAAAAGGGAAAAATATATGGTAGAGAATTTTAACCAGAAGAGCAGAGGGCTGGGGGCAGGTAGGAAAGCCCCAGGCCCAGCGACTTGGAAGTGGGAACAGCTCTGAGAGACAACACCTGGGCCTAGCAGCTTGTCAATGAGCCAGAGTCAGGCCCGGTTAGACTGGAGGCTTTGGTTAGACTGGGCCAGGTGAAAGCACAAAGCTTCCCAATATGCTCCATCACACCCGAATGTTTTAAATTGTACCCACCAGACGAGCCTTGCTGCCTGGCATCTGTCCAGCCTGCAGGCTGAGTTCCCCACCCACCTCTCTGGGGGCCTCCCTGGAAGTGCCCCTCGGGTAGCCCTGACCATCCTGGGTTCTGTGGCTGCACCAAGTGTGAGCACACGAGGGCATGGGCACCTGCCCCCAATCTGTGCTCCGTGGAAGGTGGAGCGGAGGAGATGGCCTCACCTTGAGGTTTTCTGGGCAGAACTGGTGGCCGTACATGTCGATGGCAGACAGGAAAATGGACTCCACCTGGTTGTGCCTCAGCTCGTAGGAGGGGAGATGGGAGGCAATCAGGACCTGCAGGGAGGGGGGGAGGGAGGGGTCAGGTGAGCCAAACTCACAGGGGAAGCCAAGGGCCTGGGATGACAACAGGGTGCTGCGTGTGCTGTGGGATGTTCACAGGTGAAGGATGGCCCCCCAGGCTCCCCTCATGCACAGTGGGAACACAGCCCCATGCCCCTACCTGTCTGGCTCTCAGGGCCACTTTGCAGTGCTCACTTTTGCTCAGCTGCGTGAGCTCATTGAGGATGGAGGTCAGCTCGTCCGACAGGGAAGGGTCTGGGCCACAGAGTTCATCCTTTGGGGGACAAAAAGTGACCCCAAATGGCTTTTCTCCACCAGATGGAAACAAGCCAGCATTCAGCCTCGGCCAGGGCACCTCACACACTGGGCATGGCCTGATACACATTCCCTTACAGATGTCCTCATTCATTCATTCAAGCACCCAGTCACCCACCCCAAACACACCCTGAAGCCCTGGTAAGAAGAAAGACACAACTAAGCCTCTGCCTGCAACACTCTAAACAGTGCTATCAGGTGACTCCTATGTGATACCCAGTTCTCCCAACCCTCTGAGGAGTAGAGTGCATGATCCCCATTTTACAGATGAGGAAACTGAGGATCAGAGAGGCAACACACTTTGCCCCAAGGCCATCTAGCAAGTGCAAGGCAGAGCCAGGTTCCAGCCAGGGTTATTCTGTCCCCTAGGCCTCTGCTCTTTGCCTCATACGCTGCTGCCTGACTTAAGGGTTCACAGCTTCAGAGAAACTGTTTAGTCAAATCCCAACAGAATAAGGACCACACAGGAGGCTCAGGGTAAGATGCTCAGAGGGGAAGCCACTCCCTGGCAGCCCCAGGCTGCAGGGAGCATCTGGGTCTGAAGGGGTCAAGGGTGGTTTTTTGTGGGAGAAGCGGAATCTGCCAGAAGTAAAATGATGGCTTCTATGTGTGTCCTCTATCTCTGCTTCTGAACCAGGCAGGGACCTTGCTGCTGGAGACCAGGGCTCTGTGCCACCAGCCTCTGCATCTCCCCTTACGCCCAAATGCAAGAGGAGCTCAGGACTGAGCGGCTGGGACCTAGGATGCCCGAGCACCAGGCCTGCCGCCCTCACCACCCCCCCATGTCAGTTGGGACAGGAATTCTCCAGGTGGCGGGGCTGTGAGTCATTTATTCCACACTTGCTTCTGCCTTTCCCTGATTAGAAGGAGCCCACCCTGTTCTTATGCTCACAGACTTTTCAACATATCATCTGGCCTGTACCCCAGTTCTTGTGTAAATGAATAAATTAATCTTTAAAAAAAACAAAACAAAACAAAACAAACTTCATCCAAAGGAGGAATTTTGCAAAAGGTTATATTATTTTCACAATGAAATTCCCTCCCAAGCCACTATCTACTTGGGACTAAGTTTCCGATCCTGGATGTGTACTGCCATCACTTGGAGAGGATTTCACAACTACAGAAGAATTCAAAGTCAGTACCTTGAAAACCCCTACAGTAATCATTCCAATTCACCAACCAATTGTTACACTTTTGCCATGTTACCATGTTTGATTTTATGCATATGTGCACACACACATATACGCACACTGTTTCTGAATGTCAGTGACAGACACCAGGGTCCTTCCCACTATTTTAGAAGTTACCTCCTTGAGAAAACAGATCTCCTAGCTAAGTAGAGAACCATTAAAACACCCAAGAACCTGAACAATAATGTAATAATATTATCAAATATACAGACCACATTTAAGTTTCCCGTTGGGGATGCTGTCAGGCACTGTGAGTCCCTGGGCCCCACCCCCAGAGACCCTGATTTAAATGACCAAGGGGGGGGCCTGGTGTTTGTAAACCACCCCCCTCCCCCAACCCCAGGGGATTCTCAAGGCAGCTGGGATCCAGAGTAGCTGCAACAGAGATTTTAAAATGCTTCTTTATAAAATACACTATTTATGAATCCACTGTATTAGAGTGTTAACTGTCCTATGAGCCAGGCCCAAATTCGGTCCAAGTCTGTTGTTATAAACATTGTTTCAGAGGACACAGCCATCCTTACTGGTTTGCCAGTTGTCCACTGCCGCTGCCAAGCTGCCCAGGCAGAGCTGAGAAACTGTGCCAGACATGTGGCTACAAGCCCTGATGCTTACTGTCTAAGCCTTGACAGAAAAAACATCTGCCAACCCCTTCCTGCTAAAAGGCAAGGCCAAGTCTCTCCCACTAGCTGCTGATCCTACATTTTCCAAGCCACATATGTGACCCCAGATCAAGAGGAAAACTCTTTAGCTGTGAAAGTCTGTTAATTGAGGAGGAGAAAAAAGAGCAAAGAAATTCCACACCTGTCCAAGAAGGCCAAATGGTAGCCCCACCACAAGACTGAGACTCCAACATCCTGACTAATAGCTGTGCCAGTCTGTGGGCTCGAACTGCAGCTCTGCCTTTACAAGCTGGTGGGCACGTGACTTGGACCTGTGACTTTACCTCTCTGTGGGCTGCCAAAGGGAGGTGAGAGCTGAAACCACCTCCCAGGGTTGCTGTGAGACTTACATGAGTTAATATTTGTAAAGCAAATCAGGAGCACCTGGCACACAGTAGGTGCTCTGTGAATGGTACACATGATCTCCTAGACAGCAGGCAAGCCATTGAGGGTAGCTAAAACAGCCTGGACCAAATTTGGGCCTGGCTCATACCACTCACACCTTGGTACTAGTAACAATTTTTTCTTTTTTAATACAAGAACTGGGGTACAGGCCAGACTCACAGGATGGTGAGAGGATTCACCAGAGACAGAGCAGGGAGCAGAACAGGCAGAAGGCCCAAAAACACTACTGGGGGGAGCAGCAGGTGAGACAGGAGAGGTCTGCCGTGCCTGCCGTGCCATGTGGGACCTCCCTGGCCAGCCAGGAATTGAAACGGTGCTGCAGAGGCTGCGGACAGCTTCACAGCGCTGCGCTCAACATGCTGCAACACCGGGGAGGCCCTCTAGTAAAATTTTATTGGGACACTTGCTGACATTGTACAAGGGCTATGTAAATAGCTATAAAACCACCCAAGAACCTGGTAATAGTGTAATAATATTATCTAATATACAGACCTAATTTAAGCTTCCCATTGGAGATGCTTTCAGAACGTGCAGTTGGTCAGAGATTTATGATGGACAAATACTAAAATATTTACTCTCTGGGCCTTTTCAGAATAAGTATGCTGGCCCCTGAGCACCCCACGCTCTGGGTCAAGGGGCCCCTTTCTGCTTACAATCAACATGATCACCAGCTGGTTCTTCTTGGCCACCTGCGCGTGGGAGAAGATGCAGTCCAGCACCTGGGACATGTCCGGCTTCAGCTGCTCCCTGAGGTTAATCACACACTTGTCGTAGTGGGCTGGAGGAAGACAAAAGGCAGGCCATGCAGGGGTGAGGTCTGGGTCCCCTCCTGCCCGGTGGGCTGGTTACCAGTGCCAATGGTGACCCTCACCTTGTTGGAAATGGTGCTCGACGTGGAGATACCTCCTCAGGAGATCCAACACCACAGCCTTCATGTAGCCGCGGGTTCCGCTGCGGTACCTGGAGAGGGAGGGAAGGGACCTAGTGATCAACCTGCTGCCTGGCACACCCCAACATCTCCAGCCGAGGTTTTCATGATTTCCAAGTGGAGAAAACAGTAAGAAAGGGCTTGGGGGCTGCACCCGCTTGTCCTTGGCCAAGGGAGGAAGGTGCTAGGGAGCTCATGGGCAGCAACTCTGCAGGCCAAAGAGGGCAGTGACCTGCCCGAGTCAGGCACCAACCACAGGTCAAGCCTGAGCCTCTGGGTGGGCCTGGCAACCCCAGAGAGCAGGGCGGCCCTGGCTGGGGTGCTCACGGTGGGGCTGCCTGCACACGAGGTCACAGATAGCTTTCGGCTAACCGTGCAATGCAGACAATTTGGGAACAAGGCAAAACTTGAAAGACATTTACCAAAAGATTCCTGTCTGAGTTTCACTTCCCTTTTAAAACCAGATTCTAAGGTGGTCTGTTGCCCCTGCCAGCAACATAGGGGGAGCCGGAGGGGCTGGTGTGTAGCGAAGCAGGTCAGAATGACAAAGACGAGTATCTGACATCTACAGAGCCTTGGGCACGACAACGCAAAAATACTTACAAAAACTAGCGGACACTGATGAATGAAGTCAGGTTTCCGAGGCCCAGGGGGCGGGGGTAAGGGAGAGAGGGACAGAGGGATGGTGGTGGGAAAAGCTGAACCAACCATGGTAAAAAATAAAAGAAAATAAAAAATGAAAGAAAATAAAACCAAATTTTCTATCCTGGATGTTCCCCCAAGCATTTCCTCTTCCAAATCACTGCTGAACCCACAGGCGTGAATTTCGTGGGCGATGTGACACCAAGTTTTAGGGACACAGAAACCGGCTTACCCCACCATCACTAAGTGACGACAGGGAAGAATAGGAACCTAAAACACTCGGGTCCTCAAATGTGACTTCAATTTAATAAAACCACAACACAGAACTCAGATATCTGAATTTGATGCATGACTCATTTGTTCATTTCTCCTAGGCGTTTCTCTGAAGCCACAGATGGGTTTAAGGTGAGCCACTGCGTGTTCTGGGGAGGGGCACCCTTCCCAACCGTGAGCTGTGAAACTCTCTTTGTGGGGAACCCTCACAAAAATCTCCCCCTGCAGAGGTGGGCCTTGTGCCAGTCCCCATGAGCTAGAGGAGCCCCCACTCCCTGCGCCTCTGATCATGGCACCTGGCAGAGTCCACCTGTCTCCATCCAGAAGGTCTCCGTCCTGTCTTTATAAGCACAGCTTCCTCGCTAGGTGAGATTTGCACACAGAGTGGCTGTTCTTTTTATCATCAGAGTAAATGTCCTGCCTACTTGCTACTTAAGATACAGTACCAATCCCTTATCAGCTTTCCGCAATGACCCCCCCCCAAAGCCACCATGGAAACCCACAGAGTCCCTGGGACAGACAAAGCCCTTTCCTCCATAGTCTCACTTCTCACTGCATCAGCACTTAACAAGGAGCCCGCTCCAGCTCAGGACAACCTGTGTGTGGCAAGTGCCTTTATTTCTAGTTTTAAAACAGGCAAAATGAGATTCTCAGACATTCGGTGCCTTGCTGGGGATCTGCTCTTAGGAACAGTCATGGTGGGACACTCATAGGGGTCTTTGGATCCCATGCCCTGTCTCTTGTCCTGCTCTGAGAGCCCCAGGGTGCCACCTGGCCCAGCACAGGGAATAGTTCCGTGTGAGAACCCCACCCCACCCCCAAGGGCCCAGGACTGGTACCTCTGGACCAGCTGCACGATGCTCTGGGTGTTCATGAAGAAGGCCTCCCGGTCAGCCTTGCGCTGCAGCGTGGCTGCATGGCAGTCCAGGATGGTGGCTATCTGGACAGGAGGACAGGACAGGTATGGTCACACACACCCCCTCCCCGTACAGTTCAGCTGCCACACACCGTCACCGGGAGGCCTCACCACGGGCTCCCATCCAAGAGGCTCATTCAAAGACCAAAATTCCCAGCCTGCAGTCCTCTAAGCCACCCAGAATAGCCCTGGTCACCCCACTCGACAAATTGCTTGAGGAATTCAAGAGCTCAGAATGATAACAATCACATTAAAATGCACAGAACTCTTTTTATCATCGCAAATTACAATGATACCTCTTCACAGATCTGGATTCTTTGGGGAAAGAGCAGGGAATTTCCAACCCCAGCGAGAATGAAGACATTGAGTAGGGAAGGTCCTATTTTTATGTCATTTTAATGTCATTAACATGCTGTTTATGACAACAAAGTATTTAAAATCTTTTTTGTTTAATTTTTTTTTAAAGATTTATTAATTTATTTATACAAGCACTGGGTACAGTCAGAAGTGTGGGAGGGTGAGAGAATTCACCAGAGCCAGAGCGGGGAACAGAACAGGCAGAACAACAAAATACACTGCTGAGGGGAGCAGCGGGCACGGCAGGAGAGGTCTGCGTGCCATGTGGGACCCTCGCTGGTGGCTGGGGATCGAACCGGCGCTGCAGAGGCTGGGGGCAGCTTCACAGCCCAGCACTCAACCGCTGTGCCACCAGGGGAGTCCCTAGTTTAATATTTTTAAAGAAAAAACATGTGTCGGTGTAAGTTCCTGGAAGGTACTTTTCTCAAACTGGGGTCCTGGAGAGATTTGTTCTTAGTACTTTAAAGTTGAAATATAATTCACATACCATAATATTCTCGCCATTTTCAAGTATACAATCAATTCAGTGGTTTTCTGTATCTCTACAGACCTGTGCAATCACCACTATCTAACTTAGGAGACTTTTTATCACCCCAGAAAGAAACCCTATTACCAGGTGCAGCCACTCCCCATCTCTCCCAACCCCCAGTTGCTGGCAACTACCCATCTACTTTCTTTCTCATGGATTTGCCTGTTCAGGACATTTCATGGCAATGGAATCCACAAGGTTCCACTGCTGTCAGGCTTCATTCACTCAGCTTCCTGCCTTCGAGGTTCTTCCACGTGGCACACAGATCAGTACCATTGTCTGGAGTGGCTGAGCTCTGGGAACAACCTGACCTCCACTGACCACTGACCCCCAAATCACTCACATGTGGGAGGCGTGAGAGCATGGTGGCAGCCTTTCCACCCAGACATAACAGGAAGTGAGCGGCAGAGGGGGCACTTCCAAATGCCCGACACCTTTAAAATGCTTGCTAACTTTCTTTTCACAAACCCTTCCCTTTTGCAAAGCAGCAGCGGCAGCTCTTCTGCCCGCGTGTGACTATGCAGGCGCCTCTCTTTTTCTTTCTCCTTTTCCTAATAAACCTATTCTTTTAAAATGTAAAAAATAAAATAAAATGCTTGATGAAAAGCAAGCCACCTCCCCCCAAAAGAACAAGTCAATGTCGAATGACTAGAGATATTTTCTACTACCCTGGAATGACTCCTGTTCGTAAAAATATTACCTAGACCTTATGGGTGCAAGTGATCACCTATAAAATCAGGAGAGGACCAAAGCTACCAGTTAGAAAGAAAAACTCACTATGGTTTCCGATTATTTTGGCCAGTACGTGTTTGGGAAACGCTTGCTGTCTTGCACCAACGGCTCACTCCTCTTCCAAACCTGAGTTTGATGCAGTGAGGAACAGCAGCTGTGTTCATCTAAGCAACTGCTGTTGGGGGGATGTGATTCTCCAGAAAAGGAGGGAAAGAAAGCTCCTGACCCCCAACCATCTCTGGCTGTAAGTGGTCTCACAAAGGCTGACTGGACTGGTGGCCGAAAGTAGAGACTGATGGGTGCTGAGCACCCAGCAAGGCACCCGGCCTGGCTGGGGGGGCACCTACCTGCTGGCTGGGGAACTGGCACAGCACCGAGGTGATGTTACTGGCATACTGGGCCATCACCCTGCGGACCGCCTTCTCGACAGGGGCGGGGATGCGGCCCGACACGCTGGTCATGATCTCCTGCAGCTCCAGCAGTGGCAGTGATGGGTGCCGGAGGGTCATCATGAGCTTCTGCACCCACTCCTTCAGCTGCAGCAGGGACCAGAGCATCAGCCTGAGGGCTTAGCACCTAGCCTGATAGCTGCTGGAGCCTCAGGGGGTGGGTACGGCCACCCACTGCTGGCATCTGACCAACACATTCAAGCTACCCAAGCCCTATGTGCTCAAGTAGTCCGAGATCTACCCCCCAGCAGCCTTGGGAACTATCCAGAGTGGAACAGCCCCCTGACCACCTGGGGATGCCCAACTACCCCACCCATCTCCCTTTCCATGCATTCAGAGAGCCTGTGTGCTGTGAGGGTGTAACAGGAGGGCTGGTGAAGAGCTAAGCTTTGTAGGGCTGTTCGCTTACTGCTACACCCTGTTCTAAGACCTTTACATGTTCATATTGGAGCCTCAAACCCCATGAAGTAGATATAAATATGACCTCATTTTGTCGAGGAATACAGAAAGGTTACTTAAGTGACCCAAAGTCATCCAACTGGCAAGAAGCAAAACCAGAGAGCAAACCCCAGCTATTTTGCTCCAGAGACACTTAACAGCTGTGCCACACGGCTTCTGGGCACTCAGATGGCCGACATGCTGGCCCCTGAATGAGGAGGATAATGTGCCAACTCCATAGGGTAGTTGTGAGGTTAAAAGTGAAATGATGCAACACTAGCAAGTGCAAAGACTAACTCCATATTGCCACTAGAGCAATCACACTTAGGCAACACAGCATAGGGGTTACGAGCAGACTCTGAAGACAAATGGTTATGATTCAAATCCTATCTTTCTCTCTCCTTGTGTGAAATAAGGCAAATTTCTTAGCTGCCCTCTGCCTCCATTTCATCAACTATAAAATGAAAATATCAGCTCCTATTCCATAGGTTGTTGGGAGCATTAAATGAGTTAATGATTGTTTAGTGTTTAGAGCAGTACTTGGCACACAGCAGGCACTAGACAAAGGGCGGCCATTACCATCAGCACCATCACTGTGATTTGCTATTCTGAGATGGAATGTGATGCCACAGTATTATCCATATTGGTGTCAGGTTTGAGGTCACAGGTCTTTGGCAGGTGTCTGCAAATTTGAGAACTTACAGGTTTCCCCCAAAGACAGATTATCAGGATTGTAGCTGATGTGATTACCAATTTGAAGTACTTATTTGGTAAGATTTAGTAGGCACTATTTTAGGGTCTGCTCAAAACTTTTCCATCTAAGTGGGCTGACTGTTCCTGACACAGACCTCTGATCGCTCAGAGTTAACCCTTCTGGCTCTTCACAAGGGCCTACACATGTGTGTGGAGGACACCCCCACCCTGCACAGGAACCTACCTTTATGCTAAAAATAGGCTCCGGCAGACAGTAGCCACTCATGATGTTGGTCAGGTTTTCCAAGACATTGTGGAAGACCTGGTGCAGTTTCTGCCCAAGGATGGGCAGGGTCTGCTGGGGAGGGAGCTCTCCTGTGAATGGCTTGGCCTGAGGAGACAGAACAAGAGACCTATACAATCTTCTCAAATTTTTCCATAAATCTAAAACTGCCCTAAAATAAAATCTAGTAAAAAATTTTAAAAGGTCAAAGAAGACCTGCTAGGTCAGATGACATGAGTCAAAGCTCGCAGGAGGTAAGGTAGGAGGCTGATAAACGTCCACGGGAAGGTCCTTCCAGGGAGAGGGAACAGGCTGTGGAGTGGAAGATTCTGGAATATTCAGTTAAGCAGGAGAGAGGATGAAGCCAGAGAAGGAAATGGGAGACAGCCCATCTGGGGTCTTGTCAGTGATCAGAAGAGCTTAGTTTTACTCTAAGTGGGATGGAGTGCTGCTGAGAGCTGAGCTGGGCGCATTTCTGCACCCATCCCGCTAGCTGCTAGAGCCTCAGGTCGGCTCAGCTCACTGCACAGGTGGAGGCCCTGAGCTCACCTGAGCAGTTGGGGAGGCTGTGCCTGGTGCTACGTACCGAGTGCACTTTAGAAGGGTCATCAAGTTCCAGCCGGGCCACCATGCAGCCAGCTTCTAGCACGGCCCCCGGGCGCTTGATGTACTGCACCCGGCCACTTTCCTGCACATTCAGAGTCATGATCATCTTCATCACCTGTTTTGCGGAAAGAAGCAATAAGAAAGAGCCTACTAGGGCTGGCCTGTGTATGTGACACCCAGAGTGACCCAGAACTAGCCGCTCTGGAGCACAGACTGTCATTTAGATAGAATGACTCCCCAGGCAGAGTCCAAGCGGGAGTTGGAGGAAACTGGCAATTGCTGGAAGCCTGCTGTGTGCCAGGCACAGTACTTGTCACAAATCAGCACCACCTGCACTACCAGCCAGGGAGGGAGGGGTTTATCGTGCCCATTCTAAAGACATGAAAACTGATGTTTATTTCTAAAGAAAGGGCCCTGTCTGAGAAATACACACTGGCCTAAAGGGTAGTGCATTTTGAGAATGGCTCCTTTTTTTTTTTTTTAAAGAATTATTTATTTAGGGCCTCCCCTGGTGGTGCAGCGGTTGAGCGCTGGGCTGCTAGGCTGCCCGCAGCCTCTGCAGTGCCGGTTCGTTCACCAGCCACCGGTGAGGGTCCCACCAAAAAAAAAAAAAAAAGAATTATTTATTTATACAAGCACTGGGGTACAGGGCAGAGGCATGGGAGGGTGAGAGAATTCACCAGAGACAGAGCAGGGAGCAGAACAGGCAGAAGGACCAAAAATACACTGCTGAGGGGAGCAGCAGGCGAGACAGGAGAGGTCTGCTGCATCATGTGGGAATCTCCCTGGCTGGCCGGAAATCAAACCGGCGCTGCAGAGCCTGAGTGGACAGCTTCACATCATGGCTTTCAACCCACTGCACCACCAGGGAGGCCCGAGAATGGCTCCTTTTTTAAAGGCAGACTGCAAACCCTCTGAGGGTGCTTGGTGAAATGAACAGGCTCTGGGTACAGCCATCAGTCCCTCCCTGGCCGGAGCCTGTATATGGATGTGTGAGTGTGGACTGCAGACAGGACAGTGTTCCTTTTGTTCAGAAGCCCACAGCTTTGGTACACAAGGCAGCCAGGCCTGGGCTGGGACCCCAGGAACACCCCCGCCCCTATTACTTTGTGGTCTCCAGAAAATGCCTTTCCCTCTCTGAGCTTCAGTCTACCTCTCTTGTAAAGTGGGGAATAAGAGCAGGAAGCAGAAGACTAACCAGCATTAGCTCCTGCTCTTGCTGTATTTTTACTGCCTGTATCATTATGGTGTTCCTGGGCAGCATGGAAAGGCAGGCTTAGCCCTGGCTTTATGTGACCTGCAGAGAATTCTTGGCCTGCCTGGGGATCACATCTATGCCTATCTCCTGTGGTTACCTGGAAGATAAAAGGAGGCAAGACATAAAATGCTTCCATCAGAGTCTGCCACAAGGTGTTGGCAAAAACACTTTTTAATCTTTGCTATCACTGTTATTTTATCAGTGCTTGTTCATCCTGCAGGAAGTATATAGATTTTTGAAGTTTTCTATTTAAATACTGCAGGGAATTTGAGCTGAACCCCACATCTGGCTCCCTTAGGGATTTGCAGGCAGTGGCCCAGGTGAAGGGTCAGGCCCATTTGCTTAGGTGCAGAAGCAATGCCAAAGGCCCTCCTTGGGGAGCGGTGCTGAAGGAGGCCCGGCCCCAGCCCCACCCCCATGAGCAGTCACCTCCATCTCAGCATAGCTTTGCCCCGCCTCCACATGGCCTCCGTCCTCCACCATGTACTGCATCAGCTTCCCAGCTGAGGTTGCTCTCAGAACTGTGGGGTCGTTCTCCTTCTCAAACACGCATGTCCTGTTGCCGATGGTAATTCGGTAACTGGGAGAGAGGAAGAGCAGGGAGGAAGGGAGATTGGAGAACCCAGCGGGCCCGAGTCAGGCTTTTGACAGTACTTTCCCTTCCTAAAGGTGGCCGTGAGTGTGCCCCTGCGTGAGGTTTGAGGGTCTCCATCTCCCAAACCGTGGCACTTGACTGTCATCACAGAGATTGGGAATAAGTCAGATGAACCAATGGTTGGACACTTTTCTGGAGGAAAACTAGCACTGGGAAAGCAATCAATAAATCTTATTCAATAAATACTGCAGGGAGGGGTCTGTACTAGGGATGAGCAGCAAGAGGGGGACAGATGACTCTGCGAACAGACTCAGGAAAGCTGTTAAAAAGCTGAGAAAACGCCCAGGGGTTCTCATCAAAGGAGCAATGTTTTTCCCTTTCTCTTGTCTTCTTACGGCATCTATCTGAGGAGACAGGTCTCAGCTGGACCTCCTGTGGCCATCACTGCACCACACATGGGAATCAAACCTTCACACTGTCCTAACTTAGTGCATGTTAATTATTTCTTAGTAAATCTGGGAGGAGGTGGAAAGGGGAACCTTAAAAAAATAAAAAAACATACAAATTGGGCCTCCCCAGTGGCGCAGCGGTTGAGCACTGGGTTGCGAAGCTGCCCGCGGCCTCTGCGGCGCCGGTTCGATCCCCGGCTGCTCCCCGGCCACCTGAGGAGGGTCCCACATGGCGTGCAGACCTCTCCTGCCGCCCGCTGCTCCCCTCAGCAGTGTACTTCGGTCCTTCTGCCTGCTCTGCTCCCCGCTCTGGCTCTGGTGAATTCTCTCACCCTCCCGCGCTTCTGACTGTACCCAGTGCATGTATAAACAAAACAAACAAACAAACCAGCAAACAAATAAATAAAGCATGCCTCTATAAAAAAAAAAAAAAAAAAACCATACAAATTTACTGACTGAAAGTCTGCACCTTAACATTGAACTGGGGAGAGCTTGTCCCATGCCTGAGCCTATAAGGATCTTGCATGTTCTTACCAACAGAAAATGGCTTCCAAGGAGGCCATAAAACCCTGTCCTGGGATGCTCTAGTCCACCTTCTTCAAAAGATCAAGGACTGGGCAGGGACTAGCCACTCCCCAACTGCAGTTTTCTCAGGCCTGGGGCCTCTGAGTAACCCCAGGCCCACCCTCCCTGCCGTGTCCTTGGTGGGGGTCTGTGCTGCCTGCTCAGCCAGATGCTCTACATTTTTCTTGTTTAAGCTCCATGTGTCAGATACACTCCAGTGGGGCTTTCGGGTCTTTCTGGTGAAGCCTCTGTGCTAAGACCATCCTGTGTCTCTCCCATCCAAGCACATGGCAGCGTTCCTGCCCCTGTCCACTTGTTTGCTGTGACATCTTCCCTGATAGGCCCCATGGTCCTGACCAGAGTTCTAGCCCAACACCTAGCCCAGCGCTGGGACAAGCAGATGCTCAATAAATAGGGACAGGAAGGTCTCTCCTGAGCCTTGCTCAGATGACTCAGACACCAAGCAGCTGGCACCTCACCACAGCCTGGCAGGCTGCAGAGCCGGGAGCCAGGTCCCATTCAGCTCCATATATTCCCTGGTTTCTAGAAAAGGGCCTCCTGGAGCCTCCTGTGGCTGCCTGCCAGCTGCATGAAATCCCAGCCAAGAGTGTCTCCCTGAAAAGCAGTGGGATTTACAGGTGCCTTGGACTGCAAACAGACCCCCAAGGGCTAGCTGGCCCTGCACCCACATACCTGTCCACCTCTTCTTTGATGTAGGTGGTGTAGCTGTTCCCGTTGTAGGACAGCAGCAGCCCACCATCCGTCAGCCGATGCGCGTCGATCTCAATGTGACAGCCATTCATGATGAGGACGAACATGGTCAGGGACTGCCGGGCCACCTGGGGGGACAGCCTTCATGTCCCCACCTGAATTCAGGAAGCCAGTTTGTCCCTGTGCCCCTGGGCCCCCCAACCATGAACAAGGTCAGTGTCGTGCATGTTGGGAGTGCCTGAGTGGACACCTCGCCTCTCCAGTGCCAGCCCTCGCTCACCCAAGGGAGCAGCTGACAACAGAGAGAGTCTAGAGTCAGCGCCACACCAGCCCTGGGGAGGCTAGTGGTCTCTGGCCCCAGCCTGCCCATCTCCTGCCATGGCATGCCCTCAGGTGCTGGGGGCTCACTTCTGATTCCCTTCTCCAAGCATCAGCCCCAAGCAGGGTCATCCTCGGGGACAAGAAGTGGTGTCTCACACCAGGCAAGGCAGCCCTGTTCTACACCAGTGCCCTGGATATGGACTAGGGCTCTTTCCAAGGGCAGAAAAAAGCCCTCAACATTAGAGACAGACATGCGGGCTGAACCCCAACCTGGACTCTGCATTTCAGCGGGAAGTACTGGCAGCATCTGGCCCTCAGTTCAGTCTATGTTCTCACTCATAAAAATAACACCCTAAAGAGCCCTCACCTTCATGAATACATATATTGTGACAAAAGATGGCAAGATAGTTTCAATTAATGCAACATTCATATGTCAAGGTAACTTCACTTCTAAAGTAACACTTAGGACCAATCTAGCGCTCCAATAACCTTACAATAGAATACTCTAGACCTGCCCCCATCAAATATGGGAGTGCCCAGCGGCATGTGGCTATTTAAATGTAAATTCACTAAAGTTCAATAAACTGTGAAATTCATCTCCTCAGTTACACTTGCCACATGTCAAGTACTCAACAGCCACAGGTGGTCCCATACTGGACAGCAAGACACAGCACATTTCCATGGAACGTTCTAGAGGCAGTGCTACAGACCAATCTGAAGTTGAAGAAAATTTGTTAATAACATAAGAAACTTTATGCCACAATAATATCAAAGCATTTGTACCAGAACCTCAACTTCGTCAAGGTTGAGGCATCAGGAAAAATGAGTAGCTGGTGGGCCTCCCTGGTGGCGCAGGGGTTAAGTCTGAGCTATCACCACCATTGCCTGAATTTGGTCCCCAGCCAGGGAGCTACCCACATGGCACAGCAGACCTCTCCCGTCTCGCCCGCTGCTCCCCTCAGCAGTGTATTTCAGTAGATCTGCCTGTTCTGCTCTCCACTCTGGTGAATCCTCTCACCCCCGCGCACCTTTGGTTACACTCCAGTTCTTGTATGCATAAATAAATAAATCTTTTTAAAAATGTAACCCTGAAGTTACATGGTTATGTAAATAACTGGCAAAGTTTGAAAAAGGAAACCTGCCTCAGAAGCAAACTTGAGCTCTCCTCCCTCCACAGAACATGAGATTAGGAAAGTGACCCAGCGGATGGAGGCTTGCTGGGGAGACTGCCCCACGGGCCACCCTGACTGCACCCATCCTCCCTCTATGCCCACACAGCTCAGATACTCCCTGACATGCTCTGCTAAATTGACACTGGATGCTCAGGAAGAGTAACCACCCACTTCTGATGGAGAAAGTGACCCTGGGTCAGCTCCAGGGGCACCAGCAGAGGACCAGGAAGAGATCAGAAACCTACACATTGATTCCTGGTGCAGACAGGGCAAACCAAGCTCATGGCCCTGGGAAGCTGGCCCAGACACTCCGCCAGTTCAGCATCCTGCTGACCTCTGTGCTGGATCAGTGTCCCCTCAAATTCATGTCCTTCCCAGAACTCCAGAGCATGACCCTGTTAGGCAGTAGGGTCCTTGCAGATGTAAATAGTGAGATGAGTCACACTGGACTAGGTGGGCCCTAAATCTACTGACTGGTGTCCTTCTAAGAGGAGAAGAGACCACAGACACAGTCACAGAAGGAAGACCACGTGAAGACATATCCAGAGAGGTGTCCACAAGCCAGGGGACGCCAGGACTGCCCACAAGCACCAGGAGTCAGGAAAGCATGGAGCAGATTCTTCCCTGAGCCTGCAAGAGACCAGGCCCAGCCCGCACCTTGCTTTTGGACTTCTGGCCTCCAGAACTGGGAGGATAAAATGCTGTTGCTGGAAACCAGCAGTGGGTGGGGACTTGGTTACAGCAGCACAGGAAACCCACATATGCCTTGTGTGAACTGTATGTTCGGGTCTACATGCTATGAGACCCCAAGGGTTTAGTCTCAAGGTCACAATGGAAACGCATGGGGAGGGCTGGGACCCAAGCACAGAAAACGCCTTCCAGGGATGGCTCACTTCAGAAATTAAAATCCCCTCACCCTGCAGAGCGTCGGAGACATCCTAAAATCACCAGGCCTTACCTTGAGAATATACTTAACGCCTCCGTAAATTAACTCCACGTCCACAATGTTCAGCAGAGAGTCTGCGGGGAGGACTTGGCCCCTGAAACAGAAGACAGGGCTGCGGTCAGCCTTGGGAGAAATAGAGGACTCCGTGGCTATACCCTGGACTTTAACACTCGTCCTTCCTAAGCACTATCACACCTGGCTGGGCTGAAAAAACTCAATCTAATGAAAAGGCAGGGAATATGGACAATGCCAAGAAACTGACATTCTTTGGAATCCCTGGTGAGGGATGGGAAACCTTTAAAGGACGTCTCAGGAGGCAAAATCTACAATGGGTTCATCTCAGAAATAAGTCATGGGAGAATCCTGCTACCCGCTTAAGAACTAAGCCAGCATGCAGGCTGCCCTTCCATGCACCCAAAAGCTTGACAGTCAAGGGCCAAAAGCTTTGATCCTGTTATTTCTTTTTGGTAGTTCTTTTGCCTTCCCCAATGGTGCTCAACTGGGGGTGATTCTGCCCCCACCCCAAGACATTTGGCAATGTGTGGAGATAGATTTGGTTGTGAAGACTTCTGGGGAGGAGAGAGGGTGCTGTGGATGGGGTCCCAAAATGCACAGGACGGGCCCCACAAATAATTATGCTGCCAAAGACGTCAGTGTGCTGAAGCTGAGAAAGCCTGCCCTGACCTCAGAGTGTTCTGGTCCAGCTCACCAGTCACTCTGATTCAGGCGAGGGTTTGGGAAAGGAAAATTTGTAGGCAGGACCTATGACGTACATCGCCTCCTCTCAGAAGGACTGATGTCGGGACGGACCTCACGCTCACTGGCACAAGCGCACGACTGTGTCTGTATGTTGACTGCTGCCTTGGTCTTCAAATGCCTCCCTAGGGATCTTCCTAGCCAGCTGGGATTAACCCAAGAAATTTCACAGGCAAGCACATATAGGATTCACTAACTACCTGGGGACTGATTTGCCCCCAAATAAAGCACTTTCTGCCTTGCCCGCCACTGACACACACCCTGAGAGGGAAGAAGCAGCACCTGCCCACCTACCTTTCCAGCGAGTGTAAGAAATCCGTCATGCAGGTTCTGAACATGGCATCGGCCACGTTCAAGGCTCCACACACCACCCCGAGCATGATATCTGGCTTCTCGGCCTAGGAAAGACTCTGAGCTTCAGCATCCACGCTGGCCAAGCCCAAGGGGAGCTGGGAACCCCCACCACCCCAAAGGGAGACATGCAGCTCCCCACCTGCACTTTCTGGGCAATGAGGTGATCCAACCACCCAGTGTCGATGTCGTTGCTCTGGAAGCTCTCGGTCTCCAGGAGGTTGATGAGATACTCCACCGTGGTCCTGAAGTCGCCTCGGATGGACAGCTCCTTCAGAGCCACCACCATGTTCCTGGGGAGAAGGCAATGGATTAATTTCCAGTTCAACAGAGGTATCAACACAACATGATTAAAAAGAATTATTTGAAGCAGGCAAAGAAAGTCCACTCATCAAAATCACCAAGCTCACTTTAGTTCATCGCCAAGGGCCCCGGCTCAGACAGACTTTAATGCCTTTTAAAGGCAGTGTTCTCAACATCCTTGGGCTTTTTTCATTCCAAAGGACAGTTAACTACCCATACAGGAATGTTTCATGACAAGGTGAACTGGCTTTTACCTTTCTATGCCCAAGTTCAGGCAGGAGAAATGGAAGAAATGGGTGTTATGGAATTTAGGCACCCCTTTGTCAGTGTGGGTTTCTCCAGGAACTATATATGAGGTTCAAATTTATTTATTTATTTATTTATTTATTTATTTATTTATTTTAAGATTTATTTAAGATTTATTTAATTTATACAAGAGCTGGGGTACAGGCCAGATGCACAGGAGGGTAAGAGGATTCACCAGAGACAGAGTGGGGAACCGAAAGGCAAACTGATGAAATACACTGCTGAGGGGAGCAGCGGGCGAGACAGGAGAGGTCTGCCCACCACGTGGGTTGCTCCAAGGCCGGTGGGGATCAAATCGGCACTGCAGAGGCCGCAGACAGCTTCACAGTGCCATGCTCAACCTCCTGCACCGACAGGGAGGCCCCTCAAATTTATTTATTTGAAGATTTATTTATACAAGAACTGGGGTACAGACCAGATGTGCGGGAGGGTGAGAGGATTCACCAGAGACAGAGTGGGGAACAGAACAGGCAGACTGACCGAAATACACTGCTGAGGGGAGCAGTGGGCGAGACAGGAGAGGTCTGCTGAGCCATGTGGGTATCTCCATGGCTGGCGGGGATCGAGCCGGCACTGTGGAGGCTGTGGACAACTTCACAGTGCTGCACTCAACCACCTGCGCCACCAGAGAGGCCCTGAGGTTCAAATTTAAAGGAGTACCCTGAGCACATACCTTTTTATTTTTAAAGCTATGATACTCTATATCTTTATTTATTTTAAATTTTATTTTTATATTCCCCATATAATTACAACCCCCTTATTTTGACCCAAATCCCTCATTTCCCCGTCCCCCACCCCTATAGAGTGTCTCTGGTTCATAGTTGTTTGTTGATTTTGATATTTTCTTTCCTACAGTTATTCTTTTTCCTGGTCCCTTATTTAAGTTTTCTAGATTCCTGCTACGAGTGAGACCATCCGGTATTTTTCTTTTTCTTTCTGGCTTATTTTGCTGAACATGATCCCTTCCAGCTCCATCCATGTTACTGCAAATTGCATGTGTTTATCTTTTTTGAATGCTGGATACTCTATATCTTTAAACCTTTGTAATCAACTGGAACATTCTTTGGAGCTACTTTGGTTGACCTATAATAAGCTCAGAACCAAATAGCTTTAGTGAGCTCATTCTAACTCATGGCTCTCATACAGGGGGAAAGGGCAGAATGTTCTTGGACTTCAGCATCGAGTGTTTGTAACAGGGTCTGCTCTGTGATTCACCTCCTGTGAGCTCCTCTGCTGCTGCATCCGAAGCCGCAGGCTTCAGGAGGGAAAGAGGGAGGAGAGGAGGAAGACAGACAGGAGGAAGAGAGGAAAGAGGCTGAGATACTAACGAAATGGCCTCTTCCCGGTTCTCTCCCCAGGAGAAGCAGTGCCCAAACTGGGAATCAGCAAATTCGTGTAAGCCACCAGTAGCAGCCACGCTAAAATAACCCCACACATTCTTGTTGCTGCGGAAATTCAGTTCTTGGACCGTTCCAGAGCTTGGCTTAAACCCCTGGAAGTGGAGACAGAAAATGCAACATGCAAGAAATTGTTAGCCCAGATACATTTTCATCAGAATTAAGTTCCAGGAACCCCCACAAACAAAAGTTTTGTATGATCAATAAAAGCTTGACACTTCTCATTAGTGTGGGTGTATCTCTCGGTGAGTGTGGCCATGTGAGCATGTCAGTTTCTATAATTTGTACTAAAACAAACTTTAAAGAAACCACCACCGAGTTGGGGTGGGGTGTACAGACAAAATATGGGCAAGTGTTGATCACTTTTGAACGGGGTGAAGGTATACATTCTGACTTTATATGCTTGCTATTTTCAATTATAAAATGTATACATAAAAGGGCACAGAGGCTGGATTTCCAATTGTGGATTATGAGAAGCAGGTCAAGACATCCGTGTCAGTGCCTGCTGCTGCTAACGCACACCTGACTCCCTTTTTTTGGCCAGGGAAGTGACCTCCTGTTAGCCTCAAAGCATAATTTTGTGAAAGGAGGGGTGGGTAAAGACCCCCTCTCTGGAATTAGGTTCTTTTTTTTTTTTGTGGGACCCTCGCTGGTGGCCGGGGAACGAACTGGCACTGCAGAGGCTGTGGGCAGCTTCGTAGCCCAGCGCTCAACTGCTGTGCCACCAGGGGAGGCCCTGGAATTAGGTTCTGAAAGTGAGTGATGGAGGCATTTGTTTGACAGAGGTGCCTAGAGAGATGGAAGGTTCCAAGTGCCCAGTTCATGTCCACACCTGGTCCTCTGTCCTCCCAGGCATGGGTGAATGAATCATTATCCCTTTGAGAAATTGCTATTTTGCTTGTCCACCAACCACAGCTGGCTGATTGTTTGCAACCAAACATCCCAAACTAATACAGATCCCACAGCTCACAATTCTTTCATTAAAAGGGGGAGGGAAAAAACAACCAAGCTCTCTTATCCCCAGTTTCTTGATGGTAATCATGAAATAATTAAATTATGCCAGTCGATGGTGATTATATGATAACCACCCACTAGTAAGCATGTAAGCTGTGATCAAAGCCTATTGGATGGATTTTGAGACACAAATAAGAATGAATCCCAAAGAGATTCCTGATAAGAGACCAGACTGCATTAATGTTACAGCAAAACATTCCTGAGGCCAGATTTTTAAGGACCTGGACTCTGGACCCTGTAGCTCATCCCAAAGATCAATGCGACCTTTACAACCCACCAATGAGGGGGCAGCAGGTCCCAGGGGGAAGGCAGGCAGGTAACCCCAACATCCTGACCTCTCATATAGGGTGGTGTGGCCATGTAAGTAACTGAGGAGGTGTGTGGGGACTGGCCTGGTGCCTGGCACACACGACTCATCAGTAAGCTCCAGGTTCCCATGCAAGCTTAACACTGGGGGTCTGTCCCACACTGGGGAGACTGGAGATGGCTGAAGCCCAGGGACCCCCACAACTTGCCTCATCTGGGTTTTCACTGGTGATTCTGGCTGCGATTACGTGTCCTCGGGCGAGGGGAGGGTTGGCAGGGCTTTCAAAAGAAATGGGCGTCACCCCCCACGGTGACTCTCCATACAGGAGCCGTATGTCCTTCAGCCGGTGCAGTGGCACCCCCATGGCGATCTGGAATCAAGAAAGCCGTCCCCGTGTCAGTCCCACAAGAACCCGGCCCCGACCCCCAGGACAACGCCACGTGCTGTGAAGGAAGGGGTGCAGCACGTGATGTCAGACACACTGGGCCCCTAATGTGCACGCAACTGTGCCATATGGTAGAGGGAGAGACAAAGAAAGAAAAAGGCAGGAGGCTCGACTCTGCCCCACAAATAGTGTCACTGGGAAAAGAAGTGACATTTGCAAAACATCAAAGGACAAGCAGACACAGTCAAGCACCCACAACAATGACTGGGTCAAGAACGGCCCAATTATGCAACAGTGGTCCTGCCACCAGGGAGCCTGGCATGCAGTGCGCTGTGCCATGGAGGCCCGTGCAGCTACTCCATGGTGTTCCATGACAAGATCGCCCAAGCACGCACATCACAGAGCACAGGCTCCTTGTGTGTCAATCAAGAACCAAGATTCTTAGTGCTTAGGAGGTAAGGAGGAACCCCAGGCACCTGCATAATCGTGGCTTTGTGAAGGATGCAGGGCAAGATGGGCTTGAGGCATAAGTGAGAAAAATGATGAGCACCAGCTTGGCCACAGGCTCAGATTTGACAAGCAGCGTTGTCTTATGTGGCCCACTGGAAGGACCCAGCATCCCTGGGTGATGGCCAAAATGCTGGAGTGACACTAATCAGGAGGAAACAACCAGATCAATCCACACAGAAGGACATGCTGTCTGAACTCTTTACAAATGCCAAGGTCAGGGATGAAAGAACAAGGCTGAGGAACTGTTGCCAAAGAAAGACTAAGGTGTCAAGACTGTGAAATGGAAGATGCCTGCAGTCCTGGATTTAACAAGCAAACAGCCTGAGCTGACCGGTCTCAAAGCACTCACACACCACCAGGCCTCCCTAGGGACAGCCACCACGAGATGGGCAGGACAGGGGACCCCACCCTGAATGGAAGAAGCCCTGGGGCCTGGAGCCCGTCTCCTCGCCTGAAGCTGGGCGGCCGGCAGATTGACGTCTGCGATCATCTCTGTGCAGGGATGTTCCACCTGCAGGCGGGGGTTGAGCTCCAAGAAGTGGAAGCTGCCATCCTCGCTATAGAGGTATTCCACGGTTCCCGCGCTCACATAGCCCACGGTCTTGGCCAGGCGAACGGCACACTGCAAAGGAACAGAGATGGAGGGTTTCCGCTGGTTTTCTCAGGCAGTGGTGATGGCTTATGAGTTTCCTAGCCAGATACAGACTGAGGACAAGTGGGTGTCAATTACCTTAGGACCACAGAGATCATACGCGGATAAACCATGACAGCAGAAACTGTCTCTGTGAAAGGCCTCCAGAAGCTTCTTGGTCACCCACCCCATGTTGGCAAGGCAAGACCGCAGAAGCTCTTGCTGGCCCTGAGCTGAGATGTCCTCTCGTCTGAAAGCTGCCTGCCCCTTACCCCTGATTCCTGGCTCTGCAGGACCCACCTGCTCCATGAACTCGAACACGGCTGGCGTGGCAATGGTGGCTGGAGCCTCCTCGATGATCTTCTGATGCCGCCGCTGGATGGAACAGTCTCGTCCAAACAGGGATACAGCATTCCCGTACTGGTCGGCGAGGATCTGGACCTCCAGGTGGCGGGCGTGCTGGGCCAGCTTCATGAGAAAGACAGGGGAGCCCGGGATCTCGCTCTGCACCTGGAGGGAGGCAGAGTGGCTACTTGCCTGGGAACCAGGGCTGGGCAGGAGCAAAGTGATGACGTCCACGAACTCACTGTCCTTTTAGTTTTTTGTCCCTCTCTCGTGACATTATATTCTCATTGTTGTTTTAGGTCAATATTGTGAATATACATAATGCAGAAAGTGAATCTCCCCCGTAACCCCATCTCATAAAGATAATGCATCATTAAGAGTTGGGGATAAACTAGTTTTCTAACAATATACAGCTTCCTTCTACATTTTTTGTAGAAGAAAATATAGAAGAAACAAAGTGTGTAGCCTGAATGCAAGTCTTTAAAATATATATGTGAACAATACATATATGGGAGAAAACCTAGACATAGTAAAATAGATGGATTAAGAATGGGAAACTAGCCAGTGTAAATTTTTTTTAGACATGGCTAATAATAGATCCAATGTTTTTAAAGTGAAAAATCAGCTACAAATAAGTGGGTATAAATTATTTCCTACAATAAAAAAACTGATCTTCTAGAAATGTTAAAAATACCAAGGTTATTAAAATTGCAAAATATTTTATCTCTTGGGGTGTCCCTGGTAGCCCAGGGGTTAAGTCTCAGTGCTGTCACCACTATGGCCTGAGTTCAATGCCTGGCCAGGGAGCTAACCCACATATGGTATAACAGATCTTTCCTGTGTTACCCACTGCTCAGCTTAGCAGTGTATTTCAGTAGATCCCCCTATTCTGCTCCCCAATCTGTCTCTGGTGAATCCTCTCACACACCCCTGCCCCACACCTCTGGCCTACACCCCAATTCTTCCAAGCAAAAATAAATAAAATTTAAAAAAAATTTCATCTCTTGATTGGCAAAGAGAGATGCTGGCCCTTCTACCTGTGAGATCAGTTAGAGCCAGAATGATTCAGAGAACTGACCATCTAAGGAAATGGCGTCCATATCAATACAAACAATGGAATTCTCAGAGTGAAAATGCACATTTACGACAGCAACATTCCAACTCCCACAAATGTCCTCTCAATTCTGATAGAATCATGCTGATGGAAATAATCTGGTGGCCAACAACTGAAGAAAAAGAATTTCCAGAGACAAAGGGAGAAACAGACAACAAGAATGGCTCACTTGTCTGAAAAGGATTGGGAAGTCCTCAGCACCCTTGGCCTTCCGGATTCCTTTTCCTCCACCACCCTCAGAAGCTTTGATCATCAATGGAAAGCCAATTTTTTCTGCTGCCTGTGGAGCAAAGGACACAGAGATCTCATTAGAGGGAAGACAGCTTCCGCTCAGACCAGGACAATGAAAGCTTCTGGCACCCTGCCCCCCACTACCGCCCACCCCAGAGTACATTTACCTCCAAGCCCTCATCTATGTCTTTCACACAACCCTGGTCATAAACATCTTCCGGGACACTGATTATTTTCCCCTGCTTCAGATCATCTTCTGACCACTCCACAATCAGACCTAGAGAGTCAAAAAGAGAGCTGAATCCTCCCAGGGAAGGCACAGACACATTACAGAGCCATCAGGCCTCTCCTCAACCAGGCTGCCCTTGCAAGATCCAGCCGCCACACCGACAGAACACAGCATACAGACACCACCCTTCAGTTTCCTGCTGCAGCTTTTAATTTGGGGGACTAAACTTTGAATCGGAAATCAAGCTTAAGAAATTCAGAGTTTATAAAAAAATTGGATTCTACCCTAAGAAGTCATTTATATATGAAACATTATTTTCTAAGACCCTGTGAAGAGTCAAAAAATAACCTTTCCATTCCAAATTTAAAATTCACTCTTTAGAGGAAAAAAAAATCAACATGAATAAGAAATTCCTAAATCTTTTTCCCATTTACTTTAAAATTTATCCTGGAAATTCCACTCTTTGAAATTTATCCTAAGAAAATGATTAAAATATACATAGAAATTTAGCTATAAGATTATTAAGGCTCAGTTACTTTCAATGTTTTAAAAATTAGAACAAAATTAATGGAAACAACCTAAATGTATAACTGCAGAGAACTGGTAAATAAATCATGGTACATCCATATAACCTTTCCATTCCAATCATATGTAGGTACTGTAAATGCGGTAAACTATACTTATTGACTAAGGAAGATTAGAGAGGAAAAAAAGCACAAACAATTCAATAGTAAATATAAGATCTCTGATTTTTTTAAAGGGTGTGCCCAGAGAAAAGGCTAGAAAGGCAAGGCGCCTAAAATATAACAAACATTGAACACCTGGTCATAGGATTATGGATGATTTCTATCTCTTTTTTTAATTCTCATATTTTCTAAGTTGACTACAGCAACATTCTATTACTTTTCCAATAATTAAAAAGAATTTAAATGAAAGAATAAAAAAGCATGTTCCCCCCTACCCCCCACATTAAGCAAGAGTAGGCTGAATAGTTCCCCCAGACCGAAGCTCAGGGTCCCTTACCACTCCCACTCCAGGGCAGCGTTGGAATCTGCAGCGTCTGAGCCACGATGGTGGAGGCGATTTTATCTCCCAGGGCCCACATGGCTTCACTGGGAGGGCCTGAGATGGCAGGGACATGGCAGGAAGCAGAATCAAGTGAGCAAGAAGACCCTCACAGTCAAAGAAAGTACTCAGGTCCCAGCTCTCAAGGCATTTAACATTAGGTTGGGGAAGAAAAGAATCTGCCTGTCTGTTACTTCATCTCTGTCAACTCCCAATACGTGTGGATTGTAAACAGGGCCTGAGTTAAAACCTAAGCTACTGTGGTATACACAAAATTTACTTTAAGGGAGAAGGCAAAAGGTTAGACCAAGGAGTCAAACTATCTCCTCAAAAAACTACACCACAGGTTAGCAAGTTTTCTAGAACAACCCAGACAGGAAACATTTTCAACACCACGATCTTACTCTCATTGATACTTAGCTTTGCCAGTATAGGGAGAAGCAGCCATTGGCATTACATAAGTGAATGATCAGGACCATGTTTCAATAAAACTTTATTTATAAAAGCAGGTAGTGAGTAGGATATGGCCTGTGGGCTGTAGTTTATCAGTTCCTGGGCTAGACCCTCAACCTCCCCAGGAGTTAAAAACAAGAATTATGAGAGTCCATATCACAGCCAATCAGTGAATATTAACAGAGACATCAGCAGGCCCAGGTAACTACAGTAAGGTGAGTACTGGGTGTTGAATTGCACTGAGCTACTTCACACATGTGTGTATTGTGGCCCAGAGGTAAGGAACAACAAGATTTACTATGGTAAATGATGTCCCTAAACTATGCAAGGATGTCAGATAGCACAACTGCACCAAGTTTATAAATACAAAGACAAATCCCGAAATAGATATCGTAGACAATGAGTATCACTTTACCAAATAAGTAGCAGAGATGAGGGTCTCTTGTCCCAAGGGGTTAGGATATCCTACAGGTCTGAGACACCCCAAACACAGCTATGACCTTATCAGAAATATGACCTCTGATCCTGGTTAGAAATCTGAACATGGCTGGCATTTCATGCTGGGGGGTTCTACTTATCCCAGCATCATTCCACCATGGGACCATGGCAATGGCTCCTATTTCCCTGAGCTGACAGACCGACTTGTGCCCTCCCACTCCTAGATTTGCTCTTCTGACCATGAAACTGTGAGGTGGGAATATCAAACTGACCCCCACTTTACAGGGCTGCTAGAGGAAGAGAATCTGACCCAGCAGAGTATCCCATCAACACCCCAACCCCCACATATCTGATAAAGATGCACTCTACCTAAGAAAGCAATCTCATGCTTGTGCAGGAGCTCTGGCAGCTTGGGGTTCTCGGAAGCGTGGCCCCAGCCAGCCCACACTGCCTGCAAACACAGAGAGGTGTGAACAGAGGTCTTCCTTCCAGCATCACCTCCCAACACACACTGGGAGCTCTTCACTGGGTCATGTCAGTTCTGGACTTTCCAGTCTCAGAAGATCCAGCACCCCACCCCTCTGAACTGGGTGCTCAAGTTGCTTCAGAGCTCAGGGCATCAGGTGACTGGGGAGCCCCATCCAACATGCCTGCACTGGGATTCGCTTGGCGATGTCCACAATCAGCTCCACATTGGCATAGTTGTTGTTGTTAGGTCCTCCTGGGACGGGGACGTACTGATCTGCCATCTTGATATACTCTGGTATGAAACAGGAGAGGAAGGAAAAGGGAGGCCTGAGAGCCCGAAGTGGATGGCAGGGTGTCTGCAGGGTGCAACTGCGTAGCGCCACGGAAAGGCTAGCGAGGAAGATTCTATGGCAGCAATGGACACAAGCACAATAATTGAAGAAAACCGAATGTGACTTTAATTATGTGAAAATACACATGCATCTGGACTAGACCTAGGAGGGACAAAAAGAGAAAGCAAACTCACGGGGTAGTGGGATTAGCGGTGGGTTTTTGTTTTCAATTCCTATCTCAAGTCTATCTTCATACCGTTTTGCCATTAAAAGAATATAATGTTACCTGTCGAGGTGTGAATCTGTATGCTCAAAATTTTATAGTTTTGTTAATGAATGGTAAATCAACCAAATTTGATTTTAAAAATATAAAATTTGAAAAATATGCTGTGGGGAAAAAAACCATAAATGTTTTTGAATTGTGGTGAAAAATACCTAACCTAAGAGTTACCATCTAAATTATTTCCTGAGGGTATAGTTCAACAGTGTGAATCATATCCTGTTGTGAAACAAGAAATTTTCATCTCGTGAATCTGAAACTCTCTATCCACGAAACAACTCCTCGCCCTCTCCATAAGGTCCTGTGATTTCTCTCCAGCACCCTGACTGCCCTGGGTTACCCCCAGACAGGGAATCACACAGAATTTGTCTTTTTATCATATCTTCAAGGTCCCCCAGGTGGCAGCAGGTGACAGAACTTCCTTCCTTTTTAAGGCTGAATGCAATACAATGTTTTATTTTAAAATATTCAAGCTGGGCCCTCCTGGTGGCACAGGGGTTGAGTCTCAGCACCATTAAGCTATCAGCAGCCACTGGGGCCTAAGTTTGATCCCCAGCCAGGGAGCTAACCCACATGGCGCAGCAGACCTCTGTCTTGTCTGCTGCTCCCCTCAGCAGTGCACATCAGTCAGTCCACCTATTCTGCTCCATACTCTGTCTCTAGTGAGTCCTCTCTCACCCCCCACACCTCTGGCCTGCACCCCAGTTCTTTTTTTTTAAACATTTTATTTATTCATGTATACAAAAACCCGGGGTACAGGCCAGATGCACAGGAGGGTGAGAGGATTCACCAGAGACAGAGCGGGGAACAGAACAGGCAGACTGACTGAAATACACTGCTGAGGGGAGCAGCAGGAGAGACAGGAGACGTTTGTCCCCCACGTGGGATTCTCACCGATCAGCCGGGATCAAACCCGTGCTGCAGAAGGTGCGGACAGCTTCACAGCGCTGTGCTCAACCGCCTGCGCCACCAGGGGAGGCCCACCCCAGTTCTTGTATGCATAAAAATAAATCTTTAAAAAAAAAACAAATAAATAAAAAATAAAGCAAAATATTCATGCTCCTCAAGGCAGACATTCGGCATCAGCTAGGCAAAGCGTGAAAGTGTTCCCGGGACAGTGTACGGGCCTGTGAATCCTTTGGCTCAATCCCAGGTCGAGTGTGGGCGCCTCTGTACCATGGAATCCTCTAAGGTCCCGAGAAGGAACAATGAGGGGTTTTGTGTGAGGACCTGGACAGAAACCCAAGGGTGACTTATCCCCCGCCCGCCTGCCTCTGGTGTTTCTGTACCACATGCTGGCAACAGGGGAGATGTGCGATTATATTACAAAGTGAGGAGTCAGAGGAACTCCTTCTCTTTAATGTTGGATTAATAAGAAAACAGACGTGCTAACACGGACTACATCATGCCAGGACTCAGAGAGATGTACAGGAGTGGAGACCTAGAGTTTGGGGTGAGGCCTGCTCTGCAGAGTTCAGGGATGGTAATAGGGGTGCAGGAGCACTATCAGTAGAAAGCCCAGCACATTCCAAGCCTCTGTGACAAGCCCAGGAGCCACGGAGGCCAGTGTGACCCAGACCCAGGATGGAGCGTGAGAGACACAAGGTGGGAGAAGGAGGTCAGCAGGGCCTGAGTAGGGGTCTGGAATTTCAGCTGAGCATGATGGGGGACGCCAAGGGATAACTAAGGCTGTGGACTCAGGACAGAGTTCTATACTTACCTAGGCCCCAGATGGGTGGTAAGACCCCTGTCCTGTTTGTCTTGAATGAAAAGACAGAATGACTTCTGTCCCCATGCCTCAACAACCTCACCTATAAAGCCTGTCCTGATTGTCTTGAATGAAAAGGCGGCCAAGGCTGAGCAGGGCAGTGCCCAGGGCCTGCACACCAGAAGGATTCAGGGAATAGGGCTGGAGGCAGCACTGCAGCTCTGACACGTTTAAGGAGGGGTTGACGGGACCTGAGTTGTATTTTATAAGATCATGTTGGCTGCTATGTAGACACAGTCTGTGAAGGGACAAGGCTGCTCAGTGGGTAGGGGCCGGGAAGGAAAGCATTTATAGAATGATCTATGTCAATACCCACAGATAAGTACATGAATGAATGATTGATATACAGTATATACAGTTGTGAGAAAAAACAGCTGGAGGCAAAGACACCCATCTGCTGTAATACAGACATTTCTCAAAGGGGGATTTTCACTTTTCACATTAACCATCTGCATTTTTCTAAGGCACATAGGTTGTTCCCGTATCAGCAGACATTTTGATTAAACAAAGAAGCAAAGGCAAATAAACATGGGCTCATAAGAGAACCCTGGGACTATGTCTGGAGTCCAGGATGGACTTGCCCAGGTGGTGTGGAGGAGGTGAGGCCTGGTAAGGATGGGGTGCGGGGGGTCAGGGGGACGGGAACCAATGTATGTACCTGCGTTGGCCTTGAGGTCCTCGGGAGTCACCATGACCACAAACCGGACAGCCCTCTCATTCCGGAACATCTCATAGGCCCACCTGCGGATGGACCGCATGCACTTCACAGCAGCAATGCCATTGTTGGCGATGAGCACCTGGGCAGGGAAAGTGAAAAGGGGCGGGGGCTGCACATCTGCCTGTACTGGAGGCTGAGTGCTGTGACCCATATCACTGATGCAGAGCCTCCTTTGATACCTGGAGCACATCATTTCTCTTTGTATTCCTACAGCACATAGCCCTGCACAGAGCAGGTATTCAATGCTGGTTACATAATGAGTGACTGGATGGACAGATGGATGGATGGATGGATGGATGGATGGATGGATGGATGGATGCAAAAATGGGAAGGATGGATGATGGCTGGATGGGATGGGATGGGATGGATGGATGGGTGATTGGGATTGATGTATGGATGATGGGAATGGATGGATGGATGGAAGGGTGGGTGGGTGGGTGGGTGGATTATAGGGGTTGATGGATGGATGGATGATGGATGGATGGATGGATGGATGAATGGATGGATGGATGAATGGATTATAGGGGTTGATGTATGGAAGATGGGAATAGATGGATGGCAGGGATGGATGGATGAGCAACTGTTTATTCCTTTGTTGATGACATGATATATCTATAACTGTACCAATCTGCAGTATAATGTATTTTACCACCATAATTTCAGTCCATCCTCATAACAGCCCTTTAAAAGAGGTTCTATTATTATTCCTACTTGGGGTTAAAGACATTAAAACTCCAAGGAGTTAATGTCCTTGGAGAACGTGGCAGAGCTGAGCCTCTTCCATGTTCTTGCCTGTTTTCTGATCCGCCCCTGTGGCTGCCTCCACATCCTATAAGTTAAAGGTCCCAGATTTGGTATGGAGGAACAAAGAAGCAACAAAGAAGAAGGGACGCTGGCATTAATTCTCATTCTGTCATGAGACAGTATGACTTCGGGCACATCCCTTCCCACAAGCTTCATCTTCACATGAGGGGCTCACACTGGCCAATCTCCTGGCTTAGTTTCTAAGAAACAAAACCAAGCTCTACTTTTCTTGCTTAAAAAAAAAAGCTTCTGAGGCCTCCCTGGTGGTGCAAGGGGTTAAGCTCTCCTCAAAGGAGCTATACACCCCAGACATCAGGGCTGGGTTTTATGATTCCCTCCAACTACCTAGAAAGGTTCCTCGGGGTCCTTGCAGGAGGCTCTCGGGCTCTCTGAGGCACCTCTGTGAAACAGAGGGAAGAACTTGCTGCTCCCTTAGGGTGACACGCTCATGAGATCAAGCACCCAACTCGCAGCAGGTGTTCACAAAAGTGCTCGCAGCAGGTGCTCACTCAGCAGGTGCTCACAGGACCTTTCTCTGCAGCATGAAGATTGAATCTGAAGCTGCGCCTGCACCTCCAGCTGGGAGGAGGGACCCACCCCACCTAGATCCCTAGGACCTCATCTATACCTTCTCGATGACCCGATCCCCGCCAAAGCGCGTGACAAACTCAGCTGGGGAGGCCACGGTAAAGTCTCTGTGCAGGTCCAGCTTCTTCTGTTCTCGGCCCCTCTTCACCAGGTGGAGTCCTGACATGCTGGGCCTGTAGAGGGAACAGGACAGAACCTGAGTGAGGAAGCCTGGGGTGCTTGAGGGTCTAGAGCTGGACAGCTAGGAAATCGACACCCTAGAGAAGCCAAGGCCTGTCAGAGCCTTTCGGTTCTGCCCTCCCTTTCAGAGACCCCAAGGCATCTCACAGGGAAACTCAAGAGGCCAAAGCAGGAATGAAGCAGGGGCCAGCCCAACATGCCCCATGCAGATTCTTAATCTTAAATTCACACTCATTTTATATACTCATGATTCAGGACCTCAAATAAAACTAAAAGGCTGCAACAGGAAGTTTCAAACCAGGGAGGAAGTTCACATGTTCCAGTACTTTAGACTTGCTATACAGTATTAGTATCTTTCATGTACTTTTCTGTATGCCTATATGAAATATTCCAGCAATTCCACTCCTAGGTATTTACCCAAAGGACACAGAAACATCAATTCCAAAGAACACCTGCACCCCTATGTTTATAGCAGCACTGTTTACAATAGCTAAGCTTTGGAAACAGCCCAAATGCCCAAAAATAGATGACTGGATCAAGAAGATGTGGTACATATATACCATGGAATATTACTCAGCATTCAAAAAAGATAAACACATGCCATTTGCAGCAACATGGATGGCGCTGGAAGGGATCATGCTCAGTGAAATAAGCCAAAAAGAAAAAGAAAAATACCGGATGGTCTCACTCATAGCAGGGATCTAGAAAACTTAAATAAGGGACCAGGAAAATGAATAACTATAAGAAAGTGAAAATCAAAATCAACAAAAACTATGAACCAGAGACACTTTTTGGGGGGTGGGGGGCGGGAGGGGAGGGATTGGGGTCAGAATGGGGGGATTGCAATTGTATGGGGAATATAAAAATAAAATTTATTAATTAAAAAAAAATAAAGTAAACCCATTTGGACAATAAAAAAAAATAAATAAAAAATAAATATAAAAAAAAAATAAAAAAAAAAAAACTGAAAACACACCAATGTATAACAGTAAATAGAAAAGTTCTTGCTCCACTCCTCTCCAGAAACCCACACCAGAGGACACCCCTGGGTCTCTCTCTGGCATTCACACACCTCCACGGTTCTGAACAATGTGTGAATTATCTTGGGAGTCTTCCACCCAAGACACCGTGGTGTCCTTCCCATCTGGAGAGGTGAGGAACTAGCAATCTCATGCAGCCATCCCATCCACTCCCTCCCCCGACTGTTCAATAGAGGGAGAGCTGATCCTGGACACCACAGCTTTCAATCTGCAGAGTCTATTTATATGTGGATTCATCTTATAAACAGATGACATAAATTTACAGTTAATCAATACCCTCCAGCACTGTAAGTATTTTCTCTCCCTTCTGAGACTGTTAATAACATTTCCTTTTCTCTAAATTGCTTTATTATAAAAATACAGTGTATACATACGACATACCCAGTACTTGTCAATCAACTGTTTATCAATAAGACTTGTAGTCAACAGAATGCTATTGTTTTCGGATCATCAAAAATTATACATAGGGCCTCCCTGGTGGCGCAAGGGATTAAGCACAGGACCGTGAAGGAGCTACCCACATGGTGCAGCAGACCTCTCCTGTCTCACCCGCTGCTCCCTTCAGCAGTGTATTTCCGTCCTTCTGCCTGTTCTGCTCCCCACTCTGTCTCTGGTGAATCCTCTCACCCCCCACACCTCTGGCCTGTACCCCAGTTCTTGTATGCATAAATAAATAAATATTTTTTAAAATTACACACAGGTTTTTCACTATGGATGGCAGGGAGAGTTGATCGGCATCCCAATTCCTGCGTTGTTCAAGAGTTAATTGTATACTGCAATTTGGTATTGTTAGTAAATGGGTGCTTTGTTCATTTGTGATCAGTATTCACATAAGAGTTATAATATACATGATTTTCTTCTTTCTTAGTGTTTTTTCCTGGAATTAATGATTTTTTTCATTTGCTTGGTTTTCCTCAAATCTATTAGTAACTCATCCCACTCCTAATAGCCTCCCAGTACACATCAGACAATCAATGATTTCCGTTATTTCTCCATCAACAACACCCCTCCTGAAGACCTTAGTTCTCCTTGAACCCGACTGGCTGTCATTCTCTAGACTTCATATCCAACCATTATTCTGGGGTTTCCCCTTACTGAAATCCTTAGTGTTCCCCTTTGCCTTTTCCTGGGGCTTGATCCCTAATTTGGGAAATCACCTCGCTCTTTTTCTTGGTGGACTCCCTTGTTTTGCTGGGGCATATTCTCTGGTGGTTTCATCTGGCTAAGAGGTGGTACAGTGGCAGTGGAAGAAAAGGTCACAATGATGCCCTCAACACACCTGCCCTGGTCCTGGCAGTACTGGGCTCCCTCATCACTATCACCCTGGAGATTCTCTTTCATTCTATTTTGGATTTCTGTTTCCTGTCTTCCACATGTAGTTGTTCTTTGGTTTATTCTCTTGTTTCAGTGGAAGACATCCTCTAGTAGCTTTCTAAGAAAAGGTATGGGGAGGTGGGGAGGAGGCAGAGGGTAAATGTTTTTTAGCCTTACATGTTTTAAAACTGTCTTTCTTCTGGCCTCACATTTGACCCTGTCATTGTGTACGGAATTCTGGAAGCGAAAACCTTCTCCTTCAGAGTGTTAGAAGACTTGCATCATTTTGTTGTGGCTGCAAAGACCCTCTGATCTTGATCCTTTGTGAGTAATCCCCTTTCTAATATCCTGAAGCTTACAGGATCTTTTGTCTTCTACAATTTCACAGGAGTGTGGCAGGTAAGTGTCTGCTTCCATCAAAGAGCCTGGGAACCTGTCAGACTCCTTCAATTGTAAACATACTCAGGAATTTGTCTTCAAATATCTCCTTGGTGGCAGGGACTTGGTCCCAGGTCTTGCAGGTATCTTCTCTCCTTCCCGGCCAAGGCCTCTCAAGCAACTGTGCATTGTCGGATCCTCAGTCTGGCCAAAAGGCATCCTCGCTTGAGTCCCCTCTTTGTATTTATCGGAGCTGGAGGTGCTGGAGCTGCTCTCTGTATCACATGTCTGGCTTTGTTCAATCCTGGTGTCAGCTGGATAGAAAGAATAACCCAGAACCCTGGCACAGACTGGGTCCCAATGATCACCAGCAGTTCTACTCAGTGAATATAGATGACAGCAAACTAGAGAAATGTTTGAGAAGCCTTAGTTACTTCCTCGTGACCAAGAGCAGGAACTAAGAGCTGATAAGCAGCTGGTAAGGCTGGCTGGCCCTCAACTCCACTCGGGGTGACCTGGGAGGGTTGTGTGTTAGGGGATCCCCAAGCATCACTAGAGTCTCCTCCCTTGCTGGTTCAGTTCCCCTGAGAGAAGTCTTTGGGTTTCTGCCTGGTGATAAAGATTGGCTGGAGCCTGGGGAGGGGAAGGAGGAAGAGAAACTGGGTGGGATGGGTATGGGGGGCAGGGCAGGCTTCAGGATTCAGCAGCCTCGCAGACCTTTTTCTTCCTCTCACCCTCCACCAAGGCTTGCCTCTCTTCTGAGAATAAACTGCCTGCTTTCCTTTGGGGGAGAAATGGGCAGCCTCCAGAGTAGGTGAGAAATCTGGGAGCGTCTTACCCAATCCTTCTCATTTTGGCACCCCCACTTTCAAGGCTGCCACTCCCCACATCTCTTGGGTGCATATCCAGCAGGTTCTCACTCTCTTCATCGGTCCTCTTGGTCCTGTTAAGCCAGTTATTTCCTGTCCATCTGCTCTTTGGCTTCCAAAATGCTATTGCTGATCTTCCTTCCTGTTCTGGGGTTTTATTTCTTTAAAAAAAAATCTCTTGTCTGTCATTTGGTGTGGCTTAAACAGGAGCAGAAGCAGGTATGCACATTCAGTCCACTCTCAATCTGGCAATGGGGTACGAACCTGCCAGGGCCACCTGCCAGCAATTAGCCTAGAACGCCTGTGTCCAGCAACTGTGTGATCAGGCACCTTGGAAAGCCGGAATGGCTTTGAATGGCTTGTGACCCTTGAATGGCTCAAGGGGTCAGAAGTTTCAATGAGAGGGACCTCCCTGGTGGTACAGGGGTTAAGTCTCAGCAATATGAAGCGATCTGCAGCCAAAGAAGCATGAGTTCTATCCCTGGCCAGGGAGCTACCCACATGGCATAGTAGACCTCTCCTGTCTCGCCCGCTGCTCCCCTCAGCAGTGTACTTCAGTGGATCTGCCTGTTCTGCTCCCCACTCTGTCTCTGGTGGGTCCTCACACCCCCCACACCTCTGGCTGTACCCCAGTTCTTGTATGCATAAATAAATAAATCTTTAAAATGTTAACAGCAATTATCTCAGGGTGGTTGAATTATGGGTGGTCTCTGTTTTCTTTCTTTGTTTGTATTTGTTAAATTTTCTGCAATGATATAGTATTTTCAAGAAGTAAAAGACAATCACTAATTTTGCAATGAGCATGCTGAAAGCTGCAGTCATTCTGGTCTCCACTGGGCATTCAGTAGCCTCATCTAGAAAACGGAGACGGTGACATGACACTGGGTTGTGAGGATTAAATAAGCTAGTACATGGAAAGTTTTCTGGAACACAGCAAACTCTATGTTGTTGTTTCAATGCAGTGTTACCAGGATGACCAGGCTGCTGATCTCCCAACTCAACCAAGAAAGTCATCAGGCCAGTCCTCTGCTCAGGGCCTGCTCCCTGTCGTCCACCATCCCCACCTTGTCCAGGCCTTCCCCCAATGGCTGGCTTGATCCTTAGGCTTCAAAAAGTGTAAGATGTCTCATTCCATATACACAAATGTTAAAACTTTAGCAAACACAAAAAAGCCACAACAGAAAACTCAACCAGTCAGGGGGCCTCCCTGGTGGCGCAAGAGGTTAAGACGCAGCACTGTGGAACTGTCCGCAGACACTGTAGCATGAGTTCGATTCCCTGATTGGCCAGGGAGCTGCCCACATGGTGTAGCAGACCTCTCCTGTCTCACCCGCTGCTCCCCTCAGCAGTGTATTTCAGTACTTCTGCCTGTTCTGCTCCCACTCTGTCTCT